ATTTCTTATCATTTTGATGATTCCAGAACCTTGCAGATGCTAGATGCTAGATGATCAACCTTTTCTGATCGATTCCACAACGTTTCTTTCACAATGCAATCGCATGACCATAACTGGTCTTTACCTTTAAGCACTGTTTGACAAAACGTTTATTTACTCATTTATACTATTTTTTAATTTTTCCTCACATTGATTATTGTTCAACTGTTTGGGGATCACTGAAAATGAAAGATTTAAAGCGACTACAGAAATTTCAAAACAAATATTGTCGTTTAGTATTAGATGCAGATTATTATACGCCTGTACAATCTATGTTAAATTCGTTAAGGTTGCAATCCGTCAAACACAGATTGGAATATAACTATCAAGTACTCATGTATAAAATCCTGAATAATCTTGCTCCTGTTTATCTAAAACAAGCTCTACCTCAAAGTGCTAACCCGTATCCCACGAGATCAGTTTCAATGCATTATTGTACCTTGCCAAACCCGGAACCGATTTCAAAAAACAGACCTTCATGTATACAGCAGCAAAGTTATTCAACTCACTACCCATACTTACCAAATGTTCCGCCTCACTACCCATTTTTAAACATAATGTCCGTGAAATTCAATTCAAGTGAGTTGATTTTGCGATCGCTCACATGAAGTATTGCTACCACCCTCTCTCTCTCTCTCTCTCTCTCTCTCTCTCTCCCTCTCTCTCTCGTCTTCCATCTTCATTTAATTTCCTATTTTGTATAAAATGTTTTATAGTTTGTTTATATTATGTTATTTTTTAATTATTGTATATTTTGTATATTTGTATGTGTATTGTAAGATATTTGAAATGTAATTTGTTTGTGTACAGCAGGGCTCCCTTGTAAAGCAGGCCTTGCGGCTTGAATGGGACTACCCTGCTTTTTATAAAGAAAACATGAATAAATAAATAAATAAATAAATAAATAAGTGATTGCAATCACTTAAGGTTAGGCTGATTTCCAGACCCTTGTACCGAATGGTCGTACGTTTTGTGCTGCACAAAGATTTAATCACTTTAATTTTAGCCATTAAGTATAGGTTGTTGATGTAGACAAATGCTCATGTGCCTGTTACAGCTCATTTTATGTATGTTATTACCAAAGAAAAAAAGGACACCGGTCAGTCACTTGACCCAATGGTGTTTGACAGGGAAGTCTAGAAAGTAAACGGGTTTCCTTGCATATTTTGAATGCTATAGGACACTGCTAACTTTCACAGATAGGACATACACGAGATATTCATAATTCCTGCAAAGTTCTATACAAAATTTTAAGGTTGGCTGCAAAAGGGGCATAGTATCTTTAAACCATTTACACAAGGACATAATGCAAGACAACTGGCTTGACAGGAAATCCGAAATGCTTTAATCAACTTATTTCACCCTGACTGCTGTATCTGGTGAGAAATCAGGTTCGAGCAAATAGAATCATTAAAAGTTTGTTTGTTTGATTGATTGTTTATTTTATTTTGTCACGGTTACAAACAAATACAATAATAATGTGCCCGCATTCAACAAATGCTGTTTTTCAGCGAGGCCGTGGTTACATAAAATTCGAACAATAGAATATTAAAAAATGACATTATGCAAGTTATATTATGACATTTGAAGTACAAAATCGAATCATAGTGACAAAAGAGAGATACAAAAAACATAATAACATTTAGTATCCACGAGATGAAATAAGTGAACCAATATTTTCAATTTTACTGATCTCAATACTGTAAGAAATAACAACATTTATAATTCTGATATCATTGGGCAAGGTTTGATGCATGGTATAATGGACTATGCTAAAGAAAATTGTGTGAAGTATTGGAAGGGCATTTGTGATTTAGCATATAATTATAACGAACATGTAGCCTAAATCAGTATTTAATTCCATCAATGAAGATTTTTTTTTTAAAGGTGGACCAAGAGTGTAACAAATTAAATATAGTAACCAAAGCCTCCTTGACCCAGTGTTCTTTCAGCATGTCAATTTCAAGGGTATTATAAAGATTTCAGTGCGAAATCTACTGTTCACTCCGAGTACAGATCTCAAACATCTATTTTGTAGAGTTTGAAGTTGTTTTAACCGAATTTCTTTACCGTTGCGAAATGAAGCTGAATTAAGGTTTTGTACATTATTTTCAGTGTGAATTGCCTCATTCGCTTTAAAGCAAGATAGCCTATACGTCTTTAAAACCCTTTTCTTTACATGGTCTATTTGTGGATTCCATGAAAGATTGCAGTCAAACAAAATCCCAAGATATCTGTATTCCATGACTCTAAGTAATTTGTTGTTATTTATAGACGAATATCAATTTTACAGAAACGACCCAAGTTTGACTTTGAACCGGTCAACATGAACTGGCATATTTTGTCAACGTTAAGCAACAATTCATTATTTCAAATCAACATTGATCAGTTTCTAAAATATCTTTGGGTCTTTTGCAGCAAAGTACATGCAAGTGTCATCCGCATACAAAAAGGGGAACATTTTGTTGATTGATTTTATACAAATCATTCAGAGTGTTAATCAAAATCAATGGCCCAAGGATACTTCCTCTGTGTGCAGATTATTTCAATTTTGATTGTGCGTAATAGTTCATCTGAAACAGTTTGAACTGGCAATAATGCATTACTATCCAGACAGCTTTGTTTCCTAATTGTTTCGCCTCACTGGAGAGTTTCAATCAACAAAATGTTTGCTTCGCAGAAAATGAAATCAGAGGACAAAGGCAATAATATCAGGTCAAAGGTCAAGGACGAAATGATTTTTCTTTCCTTATTCCCGATGATAGTGCATGACCAAAGAATTGGTAACATGAGAAATGGTTATAAGCAAAGACATTTTGGTCAACAAAAATAAAATGAAACTGCTGTAATTAAAAGATTTAAAGACCGACAATACTACTGGGCCAGAAGGGATTAGACCACACAGCGAGGTCACTGACAGGTGGCTATCTCATTAACTCAGCTCTCAACTAACATAAGAAAAAGAGGATCATGGGGGGCCAACAGGCACCGATTGGGGAAGCAAGTAGCTACAAGTAGGACAGTGGGGCTTTAACTCTCAGGTTATCGTCCCATCTTGATCCAAGAGGCATCGTAGACTTTGCCTACTTGTCATGTCTATTACATTACATTACTTAATACGAATTGGGGAATTATATGTATACCAAGGCCTTTGAATGACCAGCCATTCCGAGTGAGAACGAAATATCATTAAATACTTACTTATTATAATTACAAGATTGGACCAATCAGACATTCCCAGATGATGAGACATCTATACATTTAAACTATCATTCTTTAATTTTAATAAACTTGACCACAGTTTGATATGCATCATACGGATTGTTCTACCAGTGTCCCATCTAGAATACCCTCTTTATTTAGCTTTATATCATAGATCTATGAGAAACTTATCTTTGGAACCGGTGTATTATCGAATTTGATATGATTGCAGGGCCCTCAGGGAGAACAGTATGAATACTGATGAGTCTACCCTGGGAAAACAAACAATATTATTATTATTATTATCAATTTATACCAGTGCAATATGAAACATAGTTAAAATTGATGCATCTTGCATCCACTGTTACTCCTCTAACATTGACACGATTGTGCCCTCTTTCAATTGAGGAAAGCACAGGGGAGTTGAGTCACCTGCACCCCCCCCCCCTCCCCCCTCCCCACACATTTTTGAATTGCAAAGAATAATATATTCAGAGAGAGAGAGAGAGAAAGAGAGAGAAAGAGAGAGAGTGAGAGAGAGAGAGAGAGATAGAGAGAGAGGGGGAGAAAGGGAGAAAAGTAGGTGACACGACGCGTTTTCAAACCCTGGATCCATTCTTCGCCCCCCCCCCCCCCCCCCCCCCTCTCCCGTAGCGACACTAGGTTATACAAAACACTGAATGAGAAATATTACTGAAACCGTTTTGGTGTTCAAAATTGTAACTAAAACTTCATTTTTAGACAGAATAATGCCAAAGGTTGTCCAACCATGGGACAGGGGGACAACCCCCCCCCCCCACCCCCCCCCCCCCCCTCTCCCTCTTCTCAAATCCTAGTTACGGCCTGATCTATGTTAGGGATTTGTATTCTTTCCCATTAGTTTTGTTGAAACTACCATCAATGCATGTACATATTATTTGAATTTAAAAAGAAAATGAACTAATGAAACACGCAAATCGGCCTCCCAGACAATTAATGGACTCAAACTGTGTATGCATTCATGTAGAGCTGTTATAAGATCCCCCAAAGTGCATGATTCCATTCAGATTTTCAGTTTTAATGAAATGCTTGATCGCTTCTGTAAAGGCCCAGTCACGTTGGCCTGTCACGTTTATAGCATTCATCATCATGTCTAGACGAATGCACAAAGGTAATAGAAATTCTCTCAATGACGCAAGGAAATCCAGGGCATATATTCCCAAAAAAAGTGTATGTTGTCTGTTTCATTTTGGCGTTCTATACAAATCATGCAGACATTGGAGTGGATCTACATGCAGCATTCAGGAACATTACAAATCGATAACAATAATCAATATCCTAGATGGATTATTGATAATTGCATTTATTTCGTCATGGCTTCCTAATTATTAAATTTTGGACCCGATTTTAAACCCCCCCCCCCCCCTTGAAAAAATCCTGCGTACGCCACTGGCCCTAAATATTTACTTGGTGTTTTATAGTATAAAATCAGGAGCTTGGCGTTCACAATCAATACAGCCGACTTTCTGGCTCCAATAATTAAACCTGGGTCTTGTTTCATAAAAAAAATTGTTATCAGTAATAAGATACGGTAACTGTGATAAGCTACTAAATATTTTACATTTGATTTGCTATGATCAGATTTGTTAGAGATTTGTGGCAGTTTTCATTGATAGAAAGTTTTATGAAACAGGGAATCGATTGCCCAAGGCTAGCTGCTGCATCCATAAAACAAAATCCATAGTATCGCATATTTCGATTCGACAAACTCATGGGGGCGCTACACATCTTTGCGCGAAATACGAAATTTACATTGGAGTCGAAAATGGAGACAATTTTAGGTGCTAAACAACCCGTTTTACATCCTTTTAATAAACTCCCGGAGTTGAATTCAGCCGTTGTGTTGGTAAGCATCAATGAGATTTCTTTTTCTTAACTCAACATATTTTGGAAAGCCTTCCTTTACCTTCCAATAAAGCACCAATATCATTCTAAGTAATTTGGATTGTCCCACACATTGACTTTTGTGTTGTTGATATTGATAATACTGGCTTTGGCACTTTGCTTCAGGCTTTGCACATCGAAAATTCGAAATAAGTGTTTTTAGTACTATTTTTGTTTATGAACCTGAGGTCCATACTTTTTTAAAATCAGGTGATTTATTACAGTGAATCTTGTGTGTTTGCTAATTGGTAAACTATAGGGCCTAGATCTAGGCCTACTCTCTTCTTAGCAATCTAGGGTCTAGTCTAGATCTCTAGGCTAACTCCGAGCTTCCCGGAGTTAGATCTAGGCCAGAGTGAGTGAGCATAGACCCTAGACCCTATGATAATTTACACACAGAAAAGTAGAAAAAGTGAAAAAGGAAATTGAAAACTCAACCCGGCCCTGTCCCTGGCTCTGCTGAGTCAATTCTGTTTACAGTTAGACCTTGTGTATAGTAGGATCTAGGATAGACAGCAATAACCATCTGATTTGGGTCATTTCTTTAATAAAACTGACATTTGTTGTCATTCCCCAATACAGATGGCAACCCAGAGATCTCGTACCGTGGGGCAGGCTATGTACATATTTTCGTCCACGACATTTTCTCCCCAATTTTCTTTATTTAGATCTAATTTCCTGGTTTCTAAATCAGATGTAAATTAGGTCGGTATGTCATTTGTCCTAATTACAGTTATCAAAATTTGATAACTCAATATTAAATGGATAAATTACGGACTTACTTATATGAATTATCCAATTTGTATCTCCGAACGTTCATGCACTCGGAACATAGGGCTATATGACCCGGCGGCCAAAATATTTCCGGGTCAACCTACCAAAACATAGCCAAATGGCCAATCAGAGCACTCGTTTCGTGGGAGTTCGTTGGTCAAGCTGGGCTTACTCGTACGTAGCTACGGTAGCTATTGGACGTTCGAAAAGAAAAAATGAATATTCATCGACTAACACCAAGAAGGATAATGTTGACGACGAGACTTTCTCGGATTAATCATTAATTTAGGATCTAAATGAGCAAGCTATCGTAAGTCAAATAAGCTATATATATGTTATTTTTAATTTGTGTTATAATTGCAGCAGTTATGAGGATGTAAAGAGTGAAAATCTCGTTGCATATCTCATTCATCGCGGTCCGGTCGAACCGAACCATTTGTTCCGTACAGTGCCTCACAGAAAGAGGTCCCCAGACTTCAGTCTCTATAATCGGAGGTCTAGTGGAGCCAGACGTAGTCTCAGTGGAACAACCGACGATTAGAGAGACTGAAGCTTTCGGTCTAGATCTAGGAGTGCTCTGGGACTGACTTCAGACTAGGCCTAGAATCTACATGTACAATAAAAAGTGATGTGCAAGTAAAAATCGTGCTTCTACAGTATAGAACTGACGCCTAGATCTATATTATTATTTTTGTGTGTATAGTATTATTAGCCACCATTAATCAACGATTGATCATACATACATGAAGGGGAGGAATAAAATTTCACTTTCAACTTGGAAGACCCAAATTTCTAGCAGATTAATAGTTGAAGAGTCCCTGAAAGAACCAGGCTAAGTCAAACAAATGTAAAGGAATTAATACATGCTTCCATTGATTTTAGTGTTCATTCTGAACTAGGTAGTGCAGAAGTGAATTATATTTGTCACACACCATACACATTCCCACATAGGTTTGGTCCAATGACTACTCTGAGATTCTTGTGAGACCAGACCAGACCAATAGGTCAATGTATGTGGGACTGTGTCACTAATTCATTAAACTGCACCACTAGTTTAAAATGAAAACCAAATCTTAATCATGTTAAAATGTTACTTTTCAGCTGATAGGATTCCAGTCTATCAAGAAGAAAGAGTTGGCTGAAGCCATGGTGGCACTCAACACTGAATTCTGCCTTCAAGTGTAAGTTTATATGCAAAGAGAAATACATTCAAAAGACAGCGGTGATCTCATTTTTCACAATATCAAAGAAGAATACTGGTATCCATCCAGATGTATTAATTCATTGTGATCTTGGCAATTCCATTTGAAAGACCTGAATATTTGATGCTTTAACATCGATTCACTGTAAATGATTGAGTCATCTGAATTCTCATCAAGTTTTTTCAATGTCTGACACTAGATTTAAACAAGTTTATACTCCAATCTCCCATCCTGAGTTAGTTGACAATGATATACAGATGTGGATTAATCGAAGGAAACTCCTGTCACGTTAATACTTGCAACAATATTCATGTTCTTTTAAGTTAAGTGCACTATGTTAGAGAGGGATTATTTCAAAGATATCACTAAGTTATGATATTTTTTCTTATATTTTGTAACTACAATGCTTGACCATATATTTTAGAAGGAGAACAATCAATGTTAATTGATAACAGTTATTGATGTGAGTTTTTGTTTCTGTCAGCTCAATAATAACATCATTTAAATAGCAACAAGAAACAAGAAATGGCTAGTTTACTCATCTGATTATCTCATCTGTGCCTCTTTTTTTACCTCACATTTTTCTATGAGTCATCCTGTTAATTCTCATTTTCCTTCCCTGGTGTTAAGCTGAGAGTTGTGTTTATACATTTTTATTGATGAATGAAAGGTACTTGAAATCCATAACTTTATTTCTATCCACTATAATGTCATTGTTAACCAAAGCCACTGAGCATTGACTGGCTGAAGACCCAGAATGTTTGCTCAAACCCCTACAGATTGCATCCCATTGTTGTACACTACCTACAGTACATGTACCGTAGTTCTAGCCATCTAGAATGTTGCCAGTAAACCATTTAGCTTATATTGAATAGAATAACAATAATATAAATAGAGCTTTTTTTTATTGATTTCCTTAGCCGTACTGCTACCCAGCTGCCGCTCCCATCCATGAATGATGAGCAGAGACCTAAGATTGACCTGATTGTCTTCATCCTTGATGTGAATGTCAACATGAGGTGAGGATTGAAGACTCTTGTGTTGGGTGCACACAAGGTTTGCTGCTAGGTTTCAGGGGTGGTTTTCCATAGCTTTTTATTTCATTATTAGGCTGAATTTTTCTAAATTGTTCAGAGAAGAGCCATGAATGAATCCAGTACTATGACAGTCTATAAGGGACCACAGAGGTACTAACCAATATAATAAATTACCATAACAGTTAGGTTACATTGAGTCTGAGAATTGTCTTGCACTAACTGTGAATGGTTGATTATTAAGAAAACAAACATTTGTATTTTACTCTTTTTAAATGTGATTTTGGAATCAATACAATCATGATAAAATTGGTGTTGAATGATCATTCATAATGCTTTTGATTATGAAGCAAACAAAAATAGCCCAAGGGATAACAATCCATCTCATGTTATAGTGCTGCTGTGATGTTCCTAATAAGAAAAAAGAAGATATGAGATGACTCTTAAGTGAATGCTCCTTTTTGCCTGTAATCTCTTTCTTCTTTAAAATTGTGTCAAAATATTTATTTCTAAGTTGTTATCGATTAATACAACTTTGTTTTTTGTATTTGTCTTTCAGCTTGAAGACTGTTGCCGATTCATTGCCACATTTAGATCCTACATACTTCCTTGGAAGGGTTTGTTTTCTAGCTCTTAATGCCCCCAGTGAGAAGACACAATGTGCTGATTTAGGAGACATTCTAGCTCTATGTGATGCATATGATTCACCATTGATCTGTGGAGATCTAGAGGTAAGCATTCCACTCATCCTTGACCTTGATACTGATAGCAAGGTGCCATGTTTTAAGTTTAATATCATTGTTCATAGGAGTTTTGAATCAACATGTCATAGTGACACAAGTAGGGGCAACTCTCCCATTTGTCCCAACACATAAACTAAATGGAATACTTGTTTATCAGAAAGTTATTTTGTTTTTTTGCCAACTTGAAGGAAAAAATGCTGAAAATCTCATTTATGAGAGGGCTCAAACACATATACACAAAGTTCTGTTTGGATCAAGCCTATCTTTATGTTTTAACTATATCTTTCCCTTTTTCTCTATGAAGTGTCAGCTTATTATTTTGTGACCAATACAATTATTCACAGTCAGTAAGGGTTATTTATTTTTATATTGCCTGCTTTGTTTTAAAACTTCTCCCCCCCCCCCCCCCCTTTGGAACATGGTCAATTGGCAATATATGACACTTACAGTTCTTAGGGCCCCCAAATTGAAGCTCTAGACCTTCAAAAGTGTGCAGTTTAAACAAGAGGCCTAATTACAAACATACTCTAAACTATTAATCTAAACCCTCCGTTAAAAATAAGTTAGTTCAGTGTGGAGCCCTGATATTGGAATGGAGATATTGGCAGTAAGATGATAGAGAAACACTGCCAGTGATTCATCTACTCAGGCTGGGGCTGTCAAAAGAAGCTTGATAAACAGATTCGACAGCAATTTGGACAAATTGTTTTGATTAGTTAGATTATGAATCACACACATCTCTTCTAAGGTTTAACCTCTATTTTAGCTCTACATGAAATTTTGTAACATGTCAGATAAGATCTTAATCAGATAAACAGAGTTTAAGCTACAGCTGAAACAATACAGAGTGAAACCATTGCTTCATTTTGATTTTATTCTGCCCAATCAGACACAAGAACAGAGGGAGTCCCTTGCAAGACGTCTTGTTGAGATGACAGAGATAGCTGCTGGATTTAAGAATGGTATAAGCCCCCTCCTTATCCAGTCTACAAGACGTTCATATCAGTTTGTGAAGAGCCTCTAACAAGGTTGAACTGTAAAAGACTGAAAAAACAGTATACTTGTTGCAGAGTCTTGAGTAAGTTGCCTAATGCCCACAGCCATTCAGATGACACTTCAAGATGTTAGAACTTGTCGTCATCTCTTCAAGGAGCTGAGGATAATGTCAACTGTAACTCCAGTATGCTAAGGAAAATGTACATTTTAAGGTGTGAAACTTAAAGACCGTCAATACTACTGGGCCAGAAGGGAATAGACCACACAGCGAGGTCACTGACGGGTGGCTATCTCATTAACTCAGCTCTCAACTAACATAAGAAAAAGAGGATCATGGGGATCAACAGGTACCGATTGGGGAAGTTTTCTATATAGAGGGAGCAAGTAGCTACAAGTAGGACAGTGGGGCTTTAAGAATCATATTCACCAACTCTTCAAGGTTTTGATGATGGTGTCAACCCTATCTTCAAGGTGTTAACAAATACTTGTAATTCTTGGGTGTTGTCAACTTCAGTGCATATGTCCAGGCATTGGGGAGAAGGTCAGTTTTTTTCCTGTGATATTGCAGACTTATAGAGATTCTGATTCAGTGAAATAACCTTTAAAGTGTTACTTTAAGATATCATGTGCTGTATTTCTAGGGTGTCTAGGCTAGTGTCAACTACAACATATATATGTTAGATGTTCAGATCTTCTGTTTATCTTCTCCTCCAGATCCTTAAGGTAATTTTGTGTAATCATTTTGCATTTTCATATTTATTTATACTATTTTACGTTCATTTTTCTGATGGTTCTCATGGTTTCAGAAGAGAATGTAAGCTCTCTGTTCATTCAAGATGTAATTAAACACAATTCCAGACAACTGTCCTTGACTGCATGAGAATAAACAACAGATTAATTGAGACAAAAACAGTGGCTGAACATATGTGGGTACTATAATGGCAAAAGTTAAAGCTATGATATGGGCCCCATATGCGCGAAATTCAACCTCTGAAGTAAATGTGCGTTTGTCTATTTTGAGCTCACTGTAGGGTAATTTCTCATGAAGAAGCTGGCAGCTCCTTACAAGTCTGTTTAGGATGTTTCTTTAGTCAAAGGAACCAGACTACTACATACACATGATATGTACATTACCACATGAGATTCACAAAATATCCAACCTTTCCTGAGTTTCCCCTGATAAGGCAGTGTCATGTCACTGCTGCCCATTTCTCTTTAAACTATAGAAAAGGCAAAGGTTTCATGCCCTTATATACATGTACGAATGCAAATCATTTCCCATTTCAATTCATTTAATTTCTGTGAACTACTTTGCCAAGTGATCTTCTTCAACCCTTCTCTTCTAAACCTTTTAGTATAGCTCACTGGCGAGTCACTGATTAAGATTGAGAGGAAGGCTGTGCAATGGCCATCATTCTACTCCTCCTTCCAAATGTTCTCGCTAAATATCCCTTCCAAAACAGCTGATGTACAATCACTGGTTCCTCAATGCAGTCCTTCCTAACATATCCTTTCTACAAACAGTTGTTTTTTCTTTGTCTCCCAGACATGGTCTTTATGAGGGCTTGCCTTGCTTAGCACCTCATTTTATGTCATTGCTATTGTAAATGTGTACAATTGTATGTATATAAGATTTTTGTATTTCTTAAATTATGAAGTGTATATGTAATTTGTTTGCTGTATAAAAGAAAAATGCTTACTTATTTGTATGTTTCACATTAGGAATCTAATAAGTTTTTCTTTAACCGTAAAAAAGGAAATGTTTTTAATAAATTCTTCTTTAAAGGTACTATGTCCCATTTGCAGACCAAAAAAATGAAATGGTTAAATTCCAACTGCATTTGAAAGATAATACTTATTTAGAACTTCCCTAAAAAAGGTGGGGCTTGAAAATGTCTTCAAGTGGGAAAATAATGACTATTAGTTGTCAAATCGACTTTAGGGCTATAGAGCCCAAAAGTAATAGTCTTGATTTTCAGACAATTGTACCCAATGGTCATACGTTTTATGCTGCGCAAAGATTCAATCAGTTTAATCTTGGCTATCACAAGAAGTGGGTTATTGATGTAGACAAATGCTCATGTACCCTTTACAACTCTTTTCATGTATGTTATTCCCAAAGAAGAAAAAAAGCCAGTCAGTCACTCAATAGTGTCTGACAGTGAAGTCTAGCAAGTAAACGGGTTTCCTTGCATAATTTGAATATGAGGACACTGCTAACGTTTAAATTTCACAGATAGGACATACATGACATATTCATAATTCCTGCAAAGTTCTACAGAATTTGAGGTTGGCTGCAAAAGGGACATAGTACCTTTAAAGCTAACCCTGTTTCATACTTCTCTTATTCTATTGTTAAACAATTCACTCAAAAAGACAAAGTTTCCATATCTCTCTTTGCCCATTATTCAACTCTTGAACATCTCTTACATCTACCAAAATAGCTTAGGCAGACATAAAGTAGTTGTCCAGATTTCATGGTGACATTTATATCCTGTCCTTCCCATAACTCAAGATGGCTTTAAATCAGAGAATGGTCCCCCCCCCCCCTCTCTCTCTCTCTCTCTCTCTCTCCCTCTCCTGTTTTCCCCCATGGTGGGGTAAGGGTTAGGTTAGAGTATAGAGCACAGAGATAATTTAAGGCTATATCAAAGTCTATTTGGAGTTTTGTTATTTTGTTCAAACATCTCAGTATTATAGATTGTTAAACAATATCCATTAATAGTTCTGGTCAATTCAGATACATTAAGCATAGTCAGATATCTATTCATACACCCGCTATTACCCATACGAAGGCACAGCACCACAATGACCAAACTCTAGCACTATGAGGAAGACTTGGTGTTAAGGCATATTTTATTATGAACATAAATATGTCATAAAAAATAAATGTATGTGAGTTCAGACGGTACTGGTACAAGTTGCTTGAAATCCAAACTACATGGTGTTCATTTGCATATACCTTCAGCCAAATGAAAATAAGTACAGCCTCTATAAACAATATTTCTTACACACAATTTCAGCTTGCACCTCCGGTACTACGGTACTCCTAAGGCAGAATAAGATGATGAGCTTAGTGCCAACTGTACAATCAATACAGACATATTTGTTCTGAATGAATTTACTCTTCTGCTTTCAAGAAATAAAACCTCTTAATTAAAAAGATAACTTTCTGTTGTCTGGTTGGATTACATCGAGATGGATGAGAAAATGCACTAAACTATGCTCACATGGCCATGCTGTTTTTTGTTATGGTCTGTTTTGATAGTACATCTGTAAAGCGCTTAGAAACATCTAAGCACTATATAAAAGCAAAATATTATCATTATTAATATTTAGTTTTTCCTCAGAGACATTGCCAATCTGCAAAGATAAATATTGTCTAAATGAAAATTTATACTGGTCACAACTTTTGTTCACCAATACTTTGAGTAAATAGTGCTGTATTTAACTAATTCCTCTCATCCCCATTATAATATATAATTCCTATGGGATGTGAATCACATACCAGTAAGTAAAATTCAATATTAAAGGTAATACAAAGTTTTGGTATGGGGTCATGAATTTGGTTCAAATGAACATATGGAGGCATAAGCGATCCTACAATATGCAGTGATCGTTGTCGCGGTTCAACTCGAGTCTAAAGTTATGAAATTGTAAATTATAAACTCTTTATGTTGTATAGCTCCCTCTCAAGGTCAAGATATTAATTAAGCTATAAAACAATGTTTCTCGACCAAAATTGACCGATTAGCTTTTCCCGTTTGGAAATTATATATCATATCTACATATTCTGAGATTTTCATTATCGCAGCTACTATTGTACGGCTGTAGGCGCTATTTGAAATTTATCAAAATTTACCGGGAGCACCTGTAAATTTTAATATTCAATTTTTCTCGAAAGCAGAAATGTTTTAGGAGCTAAATTTTCTAGTGCTTATAATACATCCATAGGGGCATCCAAATATGTCAAAATTGTAAAGAATCCCTATCCACCCAATTTTCAAAATTTCCCAAAACTTTGCATTACCTTTAAAGGTACTATGTCCCATTTGCAGGCCAAAAAAATGAAAAAGTTAAATTCCAACTGCATTTGAAAGATAATACTAATTTAGAACTTCCCTAAAAAAGTGGGGCTTAAAAATGTCTTCAAGTGGGAAAATAATGACTATTAGTTGTCAAATCGACTTTAGGGCTATAGAGCCCAATAGTCTTGATTTTCAGACAATTGTACCGAATGGTCATACGTTTTATGCTGCGCAAAGATTCAATCAGTTTAATCTTGGCCATCACAAGAAGTGGGTTATTGGTGTAGACAAATGCTCATGTACCCTTTTCAACTATTTTCATGTATGTTATTACCAAAGAAGAAAAAAGCCAGTCAGTCACTCAATAGTGTCTGACAGTGAAGGCTAGCAAGTAAACAGGTTTCCTTGCATAATTTGAATATGAGGGCACTGCTAACATTTAAATTTCACAGATAGGACATACATGACATATTCATAATTCCTGCAAAGTTCTACAGAATTTGAGGTTGGCTGCAAAAGGGACATACTATCTTTAACATGCACACATTATTATTTAAATTTATTTTATTTATAAATATTATTTAAATATTATATTAATCATACAAAATACAAGGATATGTATAAATCTAAAATAACAATTAAAACTAAATTGAAAGGTTAACCCTATCACTCCCAGCGATAAAACACATGCAGCTGTGTAAGCCTCTCCAAAAAGGCAGATGTAAAAATTGCATATTTGTTCATATTTGCTGTTTGATTATAAAAACCTCTGAGTAATAATAATATGAAAGGGTATTAAATACATGATATTATACATTAATTTACATACTTTGAACTTTATGGTCCTTTTTCTAACCTTGAATATATCATTTGTATTTGGTCCTATTACGTTGATCTCTTCTATTTCAATAAAACCTACAAAGATATCCAACGCAAAGTGCACACAGAGTAGTACTAGCAGTGAAAAAAACATAAACAAAGTTTTTTTAAATTACATAAATGCAAGAATATTGCGTGAAGATTATAACAATATCTAGATGGAATGAGCTTTGTGTCTTATATGTACCTCTTCAGACTGAAGCTAGTACTATACCCAAATCCAAATTGCTACCTATGCTATGTTACATGTCTATCATGTCTAGCTAGATAGATCCTGGATCTACATGATTGTAGATGGGCTGGATACAGTCCTTAAGTAAAAAGGTGCACAATTAATGTGCCACAGGATTTGCTACATTGCCTTAAAGAAGATTATACATCAGCTAAATAATTATATTGAAAGACCTTTCACAAAGCAAATAAAGAACGATATATACACAATACACAATCTAAAAAATATCAAAACATACATAATAAAACAGAGAAAAATACAAATAAAACCATTCTAGATATAATGCTATTTGGTGTAATACTATATTGTGATAATAATTGTGATAAATACGGTTTCATAGATCGACTTCTTATCCTAAAAACAGATATGAAGCTCCTCTTTAGTAGTAGTAGATAATATATATGTACAAAGTTTAAAAATGATTTGTTTGGGGACATGGGCAGTGGAGCTGCATTTTCAGCCACATAACTGATGGTTACGCGCAGGGCTTATTGTTGGGACTGGTTCTTGGTCCTGGATCTAAAACTGAGTCAGGCAGCCTAACTGATGGCCTAATGCTGGACTGGTTCTTGGTCCGGGACCTAAAGCTGACTCCAGCAGTCTAACTGATGGTTACACACATGCAAGGCTCAATGCTGGATTGGTTCTTGGTCCTGAACCTAAAGTAGACTCCAGTGGCCTAACTGATCGTTACATACATGCAGGGCTTAATGCTGGACTGGTTCTTGGTCCTGGAGCTAAAGCTGACTCCAGCGGCCTAACTGATGTTTACACACAGGTCTTATTATTGGGACTGGTTTTTGGTCCTGGACCTAAAGCTGACTCCAGCGGCCTAATTGATGTTTACACACAGGACAGGTATGAACGGCATCCTTGCAGGCATCAATGCACAGAGGAATCAAACAGCAGAAGAACCAAAGTCTGTAATAACAACAAAATATTTTAATATTTTACTACATCAGCTGAATTTTCAATAATAAATCAATGTATTATGAAAGAAACTAAGTATTTTCATATTCATGTATACTCATGTTTCAGAGATTTTTAAAATGAACTATTCTGAGACAAAGCAAAAAGGTTACCAGCAGTTCTGATTGGCTGATTGGGGCATGGATTTAATAAAAAATATCATTAAACATTTTCTTTTTAAAGCCCGACACCAACTGAAACACCCATTTTTAACTGATATCAAAAAAAATTGGATGGCCTTTATTCTATTTTTGTGGCACAGATAAAAACATTGAATTACAAGGATTTATTATATTTCTCGATTTTTTGTGTGTGCATTTCTCTTACAAATATTTTGAAAAGGAAAAAATCACATACATGTATACTGAGCAAAGTTTGTAAGTCCTCATACATAGGCAACCATTTCTCTTACTTCTTAAATATTTGCTGCCAAACACAACAATCTATCTGGTAGCAACAGTGCAATCGGGTCACTGACTATGTCAAGCCCATAAAGCTAGTTGACTTAAAGGCCATCAGTACTAGTTTGGCTGTGAGGGATTGACAGGTGGCTATCTCATCAAATCAGCTCTCAATTAACATAAGAAAAAGAGGATCATGGGGGACCAATGGTTACTGATTAGGCATTGTTTTCTATATAGAGGGAGCAAGTAGCTACAAGTAGTACAGTGGGGCTTTAAAAGTAGATGTAGACTTACCCAAAGATGCATAGAGCTCCCATGATGAGGAGAGTGAGTCCTCCTATCTCCCGCCGGACGTTAGACGTGACCTGACTGTGGCAGTTAGGACAGGCACAAACAACAGGGGCATCCCGGAAGATCAGGTTATGATGGAACACAAGACCAGGCTGGTTAGCATACAGCAGAGAGGAGAAGAAAATGTTTCTTATGCGTCACAATGAAATTATGTATCAACTAAAAGTCAAACTGATCGGCTAACTTAGAATCATCAGGCCATCGCATCCAGTGGGGTTGTCGCACTATTGCTGCACGATCGTTAAACAAAAGCGGAAGATGACTCCTCCTTTTGCTTAGATTTGCTGGAGGGTTTTCACAAAGTGTGGGATAAATTGGACAAGACCATTTGTAGATGAGAGAGGTTTATTTCAAAAACATTACCCCCAACTTTTCATGAATAAAGGGGCATGTTTTCACAAGAGGTCCGGAAACGTGACCACCAGACTCAACCTGATGTTTCAAAGTAAGCCCAATAAAGTCATGTGACAGCAACTTAGCCCAAACTGATCTTGCATTCTTATGTACAGGATAAATTGTTGAAAAAAAGGTGTTTAATTAGGAATTCTTCATTGACTTTTCTTACATAGTTTTTTTTAGTAAATTAACCACTCTCAGTCCAAAGACCAATATTTAATCAACTGGTCATTATTTATGATAAATCTATCAAAAGTAGTAACAAATTTAAGTGTTGTTCTAGTTTCTGAGTGGTGAGTCAACACACCGATTACTGAGCTGGGAGACATTGCCAGGCATAGCGCCAGGTGGAGGGGCATAAATCGAAGAAAAAAAAATTTTTTTTTTTTTGGTGTACCGTGTATAAACCGCACCCCCCAACTTTGAATTTTTTCAGCGGCATAAAGGTGCGGTTAATACACCATTAATTACGGTATATAAATATGTAAATATGTTAAAATATACAATCATTGTAAATATGAACGATTGAAAGAGGAAAAATAAATGAATTGAATTGAATTGAATAGGTGGCAAGTTGTAATCTATACATAATCTATCCAGAGTTCTAGAACAACTAATATATTATGACACCATCAATCCCTCCATGAAGCAGAATATAAGGCACCATTACCATCATATTTAGGTACAAAATCTAACAAGGAAAATAAATTATGTTGTGTAATCAGAAAAAATCTTCTAATCATCTCCCCTAATCAGACAAATGACATCAAGAATGAACTAGTTTGTTTACAGACCTGACTAACAATCACAACATTGTTGGGGTTTACTGCCTGTGGTTGAGCAGTGTAGGCTGTGTTCATTGGTGGGGGTTGCACTGTGTAGCCGGCAGGGGGTGGGGGTTGCACTGGGTAGCCGGCAGCGGGTGGGGGTTGCATTGGATAGCCGGCACCGGGTGGAGGTTGCATTGGGTAGCCGGCAGCAGGTGGGGGTTGGACTGGGTAGCCGGCCGTGGGTGGGGGCTGGACAGTGTACCCTGATGCAGGAGGGGGCTGCATTGGATAGCCAGGATTGGCTGCAGGGTAGCTGGGCTGGTCTGGTCCTTGTGCATAAGGAGGGGGAGGGGTATCTTCCATTCCTCCTGCAGATCCTTGGCTCTTCTCTGTGCAATACAAATCAAATGAAAACCTTGTCAATTGAATACAATGAATGAAAGAATTAATGATGAAAATGTAGCCCAAGTTTAAATTGATTAGCTATTAATCCTTCTTTCGTCAGTAAGGCATCTACATGTATATACAAACCTTCAAAACATCAACTTCACTTGTGTCAATCCAGATTGGCATAAGTCTCTCGTACCCCCCCCCCCCCCCCCCCCCCCCAGCCTATAGTGTTTTGCTTAGAATTTGCTATTACACACATATTCTTACTATTAAATGACATGATTCCTTTAGTTACTTCTCAACATGAAAAAATAGCTTATACCGGTAGGCAGTTTGTAACAAAATTCCATTCTGTCATCAGCTAGTACTGACAGGTCCTCAATATACCCATACAAAAAGACTCTTTACCATACCTTGGTATTGTGGGGGAGCTCCTTGGTAGTCAGACATGATCTGCAGATGAGGAAAAAAATATATATTATAAATGAATTTCCATGAAACTCACTTGAATAATTTTAAGTGAATACCAAATCCATTTATTAGATTGGCCTAAATGGAGATAGAATAATCACAGAAACTAATCGGTCTATTTCAAAGATAAAGACCAGTTTTGGAAACGCCCCCCTTTCAAAAAATTAAATGGAAGCTCTTATTACCAATCATGTGAAAGAATGTGTTTTGACTAATGCGTGATACAAATTTTGCCGAGAAACCGCCTACTAATTGATTTATTTGGTAAATTATCATATCTATTTGGACCTGAAAGATATCGCGCACGTGTGCGCACGTGTCGCGTAGACCCATATACATGTACATCTTTCTGTGTGCAGTGCTTGTAACTTTACCAAGACTGGGCCAAATTTCTTATCATTTTGATGATTCCAGAACCTTGCAGTACACACCAATGCTTATAGATGATCAACCTTTTCTGATTGATTCGACAACGTTTCTTTCACAATACAATCGCATGACCATAACTGGCCTTTAAAATCAGCAGGAAAAAAAATTAAAATAAAACTTCAGTAATCAGTACTGATCAGTAACGGGATATCTCCCACTGGCAGTTTATGTGATGTCACACTGAACAAGGAGAACTTCCACAAAATGACTTGATACATCCCATTCTCATTTTTACTCATACTTTTCTGGTACCCAGTATATATTTATTTATTTTCACAGGAGAGTAGACCTATAGACCTTGAACTATAGTACATTGTCATGAAAATAATTTCTATAATATTCCATCAGAATAAATCAGGAAAATGATATTACCGGTACTATATTTTACAGAATTCATTTACATGAAAGTCGACAGTTCTCTTTTTCAACAATTTACATGACCATGTTAACGAGTGAGGGATATATACACTGTGTACCTTGTATGGATCTTCTTAAGTACGCTTATCACGTGTTCCAAATCAATGATGTGTTTTTCACATCATAATAATACATCCACAGGGGCATTCAAGTATATAAAAATTGTAAAGAATCACTGTCCACCCAATTTTCAAAATTTCCCAAAACTTTTTATATTATAGCCTACATGTACCTTTAAAGACCTTGACCGGAGCGTAAACAACCATACATCCACAGACGGCTAATGAAACACAAAATACAAATACAAGAAAGAAAAAATTAAATACCCTTTCATTACTGAGAAAAATGAAAATTACAGTACAACTGCCGCCCCCTCCCAAATTCGCCTCGGTCAAGAGCCCCCGCGCCGCACGGACTTGGGTGACGTCATTTCGTGTAGACTTCGCCGCGCGATGTTCGAGATCTACATTGATTTTGCGTACCGTGAATTCTTTCTGCTTTTTATCGATTGAAGTTTGAGAAGTTTTGAGAAGTCTTTCTAAAGAGAATGGCTACCCCAGTCGTCAGGGCAGATGCACAAGATGATTTAGTTATGGAATTTGAGTGTGAGGAGGATGGCAGTTGCGGGGAAAGCGGTGAAAATGACAGTGTCAGTGGTAGTAGTGACAGTCCGGACAGTACTGGCAGCAGCAGTGATACCGACAGCGATGCAAGTGATGCAGACGCCGGAGAACACGGGCGTATCGTCGAGTGGGAGTATGAGCCTTTACCTCGTGGTGAACCTGGGCAAAATGTTGGCGATGCTGGAAGGGCCAACAACGCAAATCGGCTTCATGAAAATGTCGAGGATTGGTAATTAAGACTTATAAGCTTATTGAATTTGTTGTGCATTCTAAATATTTATTCCCCCCCCCCAAATTGAAATCAAATAGCGTAGATCTCTAGACTCGGTCATAAATGGCATGTCTAATTCTAAAGTTAACTTGTTAAAATGATTCTCTAGATCTATGTCTGCGCACCTAAAATTCGACCTCGATTTCATTACACAGTAAGATATTATTTTTAGAATCATCATTGTTATTCCGTTCTTCATATTCTAATGATTACTGAAACAAAAAAACTCGACAAATTATTCACAAGAACAATTTTTTTTAACGAATTTCAGACGGGCTCGTCATTTTGTGTAGCAAAACTGAAAAGTGCCCATGTCTGCGCACTCACTATTTTGCACGCAATTCAATCAAGCACAGTGAAGTTTCATACCAGGGACAACCCCCTGTTCAGACTTTTCTTTTTTGACAATGATTGAAATTTTCAGGGTGGCAAATGAAACTTGCTAAAACTCATTTTTAATCTTCCCAATTATTTTCACAAATTTTGGTATCTAAATGAATTGTTGAGGTTAAGATTGAAAATTGGTGTCAGTTTGATGTTTTGTTCTATAAATATCGCGCATTTACGTGGGTGCGCAGACATAGGCACTGCCTTGGGCACTCTTACCATACTACGACTACGAGAACGATGTCATTTTTATATTTATCAGGAAGCTGTAATAAAATATTTATAAAATTATAGTAGGTGTATTGATTTTTGTTTGAATCTTTCTGTATTTCAAGGTGTACATGTGGAAGATGTCGTGTGCCTCCATCTTTCAATGAAGGTGATTGTGTCTGTTGTCAGGAAATTGCAGAGGTCAAGGCAGAGGCTGATCGACAGGGTTCAAGTTGTCTGGTGGATTCTGAGGAGTTTGAGCCGGCCATCCTAAATGCGACAACATTGTACATCGGATGGATGGAGTACACAGATAGGTGGCGCCGAGCAGCCAAAGCATTTGGGGACAGGAACAATGAGTAAGTTATGTTTCTCCTTTTCATCATTTTGGCAAGGGCAAAAAAATAAATGGATTGATTTTGAAAGTTTATTGGGTGAAACTTTTCAAAACGAATTGAGTCACCGCAAGATGAATTACTAGTTTTGACCAAAATTCTTGCCTGGTGACCACTGGTGTACTAGCTGCCTTATCTGCAGGTGCTTCGGGGCACTTTTTCAGGAAATGTATACAAATAGGCAAGAATGACCACCGGTTTGTGAGTTTTAGCATGTTACCCCCCCCCCCCCCCCCCCCCAATAATCTGTAGTTATGAAACATAAACTTTATATGCGATTTTGAATGTTGCCCCCCACCGCCCGACAAACAATGACTAACCCTTGGTCATTTTAGTTTTTTTTAATCATTTTTATTTTCCTGAATTAATTAATAAAGAATTAATATTTTGACATCAAATCATCTATCCTAAGAAAAATAATGAAATTTTTTTATTGCTTTTTATTTTACAGAAAATACAGGTATGTGGCCTACAGGAAAGTCGTGAGATGGTGTTGGGGCTGGCTCGGGAAGGACATCAGGGTGCAACTGCCAGCATGTGTCCATGCCTCAATAATGGAAGCGTATCCTGATGGACGTGGTCAGTACAAAGGGACCATCCTGCGTCGGTTGAGATGAGGATGTAACATCAACTATTGTCTTGCGAACTTTGAATGACTGTCATCTTCTATGTGATTGTCAGCCATCTTCTGTACGTTATTTGTGATCATCGGCTGTCATCTTCATATTCATCACAAATACTATTGTTTGAACTTCTCATGATGGTATGGTTGCTATGAACTTTGATCTCAACATTTGATTCTAATTTCCAAGAGCTGATATTCGAACTTTTGCAAAACTGTGATCAAGCAACGATTTCTTATGAGGAAGAATGTTGAAATCTATATAAACAAGCAACAACAAAAAAAACAAAAAAAACACAACATGCCTTGTTCCTTCTCTTTTGTTATACACCCTGCAATGTAATTTGTTTTAATAATTTGAGCATTTCATATACAGTCAACCTGCCGAGTCAGAAAAGGGGAGAGAAAGAGAAAATGAAATTGAAAGAGAAAACGAAATTGAGAGAAAGAGAAATAACAGCATGGACACAACAAAGATAGACAGAGGAATAATGAGAGTAAGAGAAGGGAATTGCGGTTGACGAAATTTCAAATGTGTGATAAATGGTAAGCATCGTAATAAATCCAGGAAATCCTTTATTTTGCATCAAATCTATCCTCCCAAAAAGGATAAACCTTAACCCTATCTCCCACTCTGTCCCTCTTCCTCTCTCTTTCTCCTCTTCCACCCTCCACATTCCCATCTCTCTATCCCACTTCCTCTCTCTGTTTCCTCTTCCATATTTCCATCTCTCACTCTGTCCCTCCTCTCTTTCTCCTCCTCCACATTCCCATCTCTCACTCTGTCCCTCCCTCTCCTCTTCCACCCTCCACATTTCTATCTCTCACTCTGTCCCTCCTTCTCCTCTTCCACCCTCCACATTCCCATCTCTCACTCTGTCCCTCCTTCTCCTCTTCCTCCACATTCCCATCTCTCACTCTCTCCCTCTGCCTCTCTTTTCCTCCTCCACCCTCCACATTCCCATCTCTCACTCTTTCACAATCTCTCTTTCTCCTCTTCCATCCATCACATTCCCATCTCTCACTCTTTCACAATCTCTCTTTCTCCTCTTCCATCCATCACATTCACATCTCTCACTCTATCCCTATTGGTATCTATCTTTATCCCTCTTCTTCCTTCACATTCTCTATCTCACTCTCATTTTCACAGCAATTTCCATCTTTAAATTATGAAGCTTCCTACAAGACACCTATAATAGAAATAAACAAACAAGATTTGTGTTCCTTTAGATGAATTTTTGTTTACCTTTGCTCAAAATATTCTCAGAACATCCCATTGACGGTTTTTCCCTCCAATCATTTTCTTCTCTGTTTGTGCAATATATTTCAAAATGATGCACCATTGGAACAAAAACTTTGATGCAACATGTACATTACATTCATCCTTATTTTATGTAAAGTTTACAGGATAGATGACTATTTTTATTATATCTGCAAGGATGATTATTTTTCAATCTTTTATAACCAGGTTTTAGGACAAACAGGAAACCGCTGTTAGGAAAAAAAGGTATGGAAGGTATGGATGGGATGAAGTATCATCACAATGTTTCCTCTTCTGTGATAATATGGCATGATCTTTAAAACTACTAACTTTGAAAATGAATAACACAATTCACCTCGGCAGAAAAGGGAAAAAATCAAAAACAAAAAATAAAGTCATATCTGGTGCAATACATCAAATGGTTCTTGAATAAGAACAGTTTAGATGAAAAAAAAAATGCATTTTTTTATTTTTTATTTTTTGCAAATAAGAAGCAAAAAGCATCGGCCAAGATGAAGCACTGTGAGAAAAATCAGATTATATTTGGTGCCAAATTCATGATCAACAGTGATTTACTTAGTGTTTATGAAAATCTAGTGCATATGCTTCAGAAATTGTTTTTAATTGAACTAAAAATGTAAGTTTTACAAATTTAATAAGTATTTTACCTATTAAAACCAATGACTATTGAATTAGTATTGATGTGTACCATGGACTTTGGCTTGTGTAAGTATGTACAAGCTTACAGACAAGTTTCTAGTGCTTTACACTCACATAGAATCGGAATCCACTACTCACTTGCATAGAGTACTTCCATGTTACTCTCCATAATTATACTGGCATAAACATAATTAAGGGTCTATGAAAAACATGTCTTGTACTGAAATAAAACAATCAGTGGTTAATGTTCAGGTAGCTGACACATTCATCATAGTTTCTATCACCAAAAGAACTAGTTTCTATCGCCAAAGCGATGATGTTGTTCAAAAGCTTGCACGGCTTCTCCATTGTCGGGGTGATGATGAGAGGCACTCCGTGCTGGTTGAGGCTGTAGCTCCTCCATGTTGTCTCTGAGCTGCTCCCTGTTTTCCACCAGTTCTACGACAACTCTCATCAGGGCTTTCACATAACCTACAAGATAAAATCCAAAACTATACCTTGAAAATTCATCTATACGGTGTTAAAAAAATACATTTTGATAAGAGGAAAAAAGGAAAAGAGAAAAATAAGAACATAAGAAGAGAAAACTCTTTTTCTCACAAATATTGAATTACCTAATTTTACACACTATTTGTAGGTGGATGACCAATCAAATACCAATGGCATGCACATGTTCTTTGCTGAATAGGTAGTTCACTGACTTGGGGACTGACATATATGCCTGTTTCTGCTTGCTATTCAATATTACACATTTGCAGAAAGTAACCCAATACATGTTTATAATTATCAATTTAATCAACAGATTAAATTAAGGGCATATAGGCCACAAGAATCTACTAATTTGAATTCTATTGATCATGAAGTAATAAAAGATTTCTATATATAATTGAGCTCTTTTGTTGAATATTGATATCATTCACTAGACATGTGGCTACTTACCACATGTGCCAGCTGTCAGCACTCTCTCCACTGTGTGGCCTCCTTCCTTCGAGCGTGGATACTTCAACCTGTACACTGGGTTCCCTTCGGCATCAACAGCCTGGGCTCTATCACAATTTTCGTTCCAATGTAGGACAGCCAAATATAATCTGAAAAGAGTGAAGTTAAAAATAAAGGTCACATGAATAACATACTTGTGACAGTTGATTTTATCTTTTTGGTAATGTAATGTCTATCATCATAAACTCGTTACCTACTCTCCAATAAGTGAAGGCAAGAGTTAGTGTAAAAAGCATGTGTTACAAATAATAAATAAAAAAAAATTAAAAAACCAACAAAATATGAAATAGAAAGAACCTGGCTATAACAAAAAGAAAATAATAACTTTAAAACATAAAACCAATAAAATCAAATTCAAAAGAAGAAGAAGAAGAAACAACACTGCCCTCTGTGACGTTCTTGTTAAATTTATATTAGGGGAGCATAATGTTGATGAATTAATTGCCTAATTTACCTGCACTTCATCCCTTGATATGAGTATACAAGCAACTTGGGGCAAAAGTGAAGGAGGATGTTGTGGAATGATTCAACCTTGCTGGTTTGGGCATGTGGGGACATCATCCCAATGTCGTTCATCAGTCTGGTCCTCAGCCATTCCTCTCGAAGCTTGTCGTACACCTTTGTACCTGTAATAAGATTGGGAATATAATATATGCGGTAAAGGTGAAGGAGAGTTCATTTAAATAGTTAGCAATCATGATCTCGGCATTTCCAAGCATCTCATCCCTTCGTCAAAACTATTTTTTCATTCCACAATGAATATTAATCATTTAGAAAATTGCACCAAAAAAAATATGAATGTCATGATCAAAATTGAACTAAATTAAACTTGAATGTACATTATTAAAATAAATGTAAATATTTTGCTCGCATTTTCTTCTTCTTCTTCTTCCAGTATAGTACAGTCCGCCGTTGGCGTATTATCGTACCTTGTGTTTGTCAAGTGCCGAGTGTACAGTGCAAGTAAAAAGGTTCTACAAGAATTCTATGTGCAGCTAAAAAACAGTCTGAAGCTCAACGGAGCTTGATGTGTTGCACCTTCTGCTTGACAAACATCTTCAAAGTATTATTACACCGTATGCATATAAATAAGGATTTTACCCACATCCAAACTAAAAGAACAACTTGAGGCTAGTTTCATAGAAAAAAAAAAGCAAAGTTAATCTGTAGTCGGATAAAAAAAAAGAAGCAAAGTCAACAACAAATGACCGATGATTTTGTTTTAATAATCATCCCTGGCAACAACACTAGATCTAGACTCTAGACCATTTTGATTTGAATAAAAACAGTGTTTTCATCACGAGAAAGTATCAAGAAGAGGCACCCATGTGATTTCTGACATCAATTCAAAATAATTTAGTTCCTGGCTTCACTGTACTGCAGTGCACTGCCACTGGGCGGCACGAGTCCAAGGCCTAGATTCTACCAACTACCTAGTTTTCTTTTTCTTCTTTTTTAGGCCCAATTCTTCTTCAAAATCTCCATTTCATCTTCTTCTTATTTTTCATTGTTTACAGACTATATTCTAGACAATAAAACAATGTAGATCTAAATAATTCTTTGATTTAATGCTGGTAAACCATGCAAAAGGAAAGGCTATCTGTGCGATAAAAGCGAGCGAAACTTAGTTTTGTTCGAGAAATATTCCACGACCACCAGCATGACACGGCGCGGCAAGTCAGGCCGGGCCGGCCGCGGCCCGAGTGCTCTCGCGAGGCTCAGCGATAGATTGCTGAAAGTTGTGCAATCGCAGACCGAGGCAGGCAGCCAGCAGCGCGGGCAAATGATTCGTTTCAATCTAATTTAGTGGAAATTTGGGGTTGATATTCCATATTACGTAGCGTGAAATTAATACAGATATAAAATGTCAACATTCTAATCGTAAAATGTCCAAATACAGCTTCGACATTGATATTTACAACAACAAAAAAAGAGAGAAGAAAACTTCACATACCGACCACCATGCGAAGAACCAGCTGCAAAACCGAGTGGCCAAATAACCTACACGTTATGACGTCATCAGAAACGGGTAGAAACGGCCACCGGCTAGCGCAGCCGAAACTAAATCTCCGGGGTGCCCCTCTCAAATCCGTGAATCCTGGGGTTCGGATGCTAAATACTTCTTTCAGAGGCCGTGGAATCTCGAGAAGTTTGCATTTTCATATTCAGTAAATATTCACGAGTCCGTAGGTATATAATTTGTCTATATAATGCTCTGCTCCGGTCAAGGTCTTTAAGTAAAAAGATATCAGCCCAGAAAAAGCACTGTAAAGACAAGTCAATGAAATGATTAGACAGGTTATACTATATCTAATCAGCATAATAATGATATGCATATTTTTAGAGATAGAATCCACTTTGCATATATTTGTTGTTGCTATGTCTGGCAATAGGCCTACTATGTGCATTTTTGGAGTGGTCAAGTGAAAATTTTGTTCAAGAAGCGTGCATATAATTAACACACATGTGGGCCTCAGCCCATATGCAGGTCTCTTGCAAACAAGTTCTCACAGCTCAGCTCAGTTAGATTATATTAGTAGCTTATTATAAAAAATATGTGCCATAATTGTTAGACCGAAAGCTTCAGTCTCTAATATCGGTTGTTCCGCTGAGATTCCATCTGGCTAGGCTCCATTGGGAATGTCAACATATGTCAGTTTTAATAAAGATAAAGTCCAGGGGGCCGTTTCTCGAAACCGTCATAACTACAAGATCAACGACATCTCGCCACTGTCGCGCAACTTGTCAGCTAAGTGTTTCACGAAGCCGTCTTTGCCAAGATGAGCGACAACTTCCGCGACAAGCGAGTTGTCACTGCTCCGAACCTGTCATATCTTTTTAATTGCTGTAAAGCGCCATCACAAGTCAGTTTGTTGCCATTCCATGGGCCGCGAAATGGACGATTAGTTTCACTATCATTTTGAGAAAAATATAGACGAGTTCGGTACGTAATTCTCTGGGATGCGAAATGCAAATATACAAAAGTGAGAATACAAATTATACAGAAACTTTAAAAAGCTGAATATAAACATTAAATCACAAGTCTTTAAACTATAACATATAAATAAGAGAGGTAAGAATGTTACACACCGTTTTCCATAGTCGATCCATAGTCTTTTCTTAGGATACCGTCATACCTTTGAGGCCTATGTGCATTATTATTCCCTCTCTAATTACTTCTTCCAAATTATATTTTCAATATCAAATCAATTATATAACGAGTATTTATGAGACTCTAGAATAAAAACTGGCTGAGAAAAGACATTTTGCCTAAAATTCCTCGTCACAATAAACAAAAAAGTACGTATTGATAAACTATCACATTACGGTATCCTTCAACTAACTTTTGATTCGACTGTCAAAAAAAAAACACTCACCGGTTTTTCTTCAATTTAAGAATCTTTACAGAAATATGCAAATCGTTTGATGATGTAAATATGATAATGACACTATTTATTATTTATTTTAGGAGAATTTATAAGTATATATTTCTTTTTGAACAATTTTAGCCCCAAAACTTGTTTTGGGTTATTCTTGATAAATCAAATGGATCGTGACAAAGACTATGTTCTTGAGCTGCTAGTATCGCGATATATCGATATCATGTCTGTCATGGCTTTGTGAAACGGTTTATCCGCTTCATGACATCTCCGTAGGTCGCCGACAAAGATATGACTGTCATGGAGTTGGTTTCGAGAAACGGCCCCCAGTTCTGGTCATGCGATTGCATTGTGAAAGAAACGTTGTGGAGTCGATCAGAAAAGGTTGATCATCTAGCATAGTATTGGTGTGTTACGTGTGTACTGCAAGCCCGGTGGGATCCCTCCCCCTCAGAGGGTGACACGTATGACCGCTTTTGCGGTCAATTTCAAGGACATTTTGTGAAATTTAACCCCCTTTTTAATGAAGCGATCCACGGCGAGACGGCCCGGTGGCCATAGCCGCCCCGCCTAGTACCGACTCAGAAAATGTTAAAGTATAACTTTAGTTCTTGAAGTGTAGAAAACGAAGATAAATCAAAGTCACTAAAACAAATTCTTGATTGGAGTTGAAGATTTATTAAAATAAACGTAGAATTAATAAAATCACGAAGTTCATGTTTTGGGGCTGGGCAACCCAATTGAAGCAAATTAGCAACTCATGTCGGAATCGTAACGGAAAAGAGGTCCCGCTCCAGAGACGCAACTCGGTTTTTATCCCCCCGAACTGACACGCCTCGTCCTCCCAAAAATTGAGGCGTGTCACACAGACGCTTTGCGAAATATCAATCCACCCATAATTAGTTTCCGTATTAAAAGGTCCTATATTTCTTGGCGAATTTACCCCCTCGGATATAAGGCGCTCTGGATGATCCGCATCTCTATTCCTCACATACTTCTTTCACGCACCCACCTGTGTCTCTTACATTCTAATCTTTCAAACAAGAGATGCAAATCACCCGGAGACCCAACAACCCTGGAAATTAATTAAATCAATATAAAAAGGGATAAATGTTGCTATGTCCGTCCACACTAGCGAGCCCACATGCTTCTGGCTATTACACACCTGTAATCCTCACTTCCTCTCTCATACTATTTCGATAGTGTGAACAGACCCGGCAACAAGGAAAAACCCTTCCAATTGTAATACAAATCTATTTCCCAAATTTGCATAATTAAATTTAAGTCAACTGTGGCGACACGCCCAGCGACACCTAATCCAATCGGCCAAGCCGAAAAAGTAGAGCCAAAATTAAGAGCGCAACGTCTCGGAACAGGTGTTAAAAATAGCATACAAGGAATTCACCATGTATGTTTGTAAACATAGTTCTAGCGAAATCTACCAGGAATTTGCCTTGTACATGTACGTCAATGAACCTTTGAGGAAAACGTAAACACGAGAATATCCATATCATTACGTCAAAACAAGGACAAAATCGTACTTTGGAATACCCTTATTTATGAGATTGTAAAGACAGTTTCGCAAATTTACCCCTATTTAACCATATTTCAAGGACAAGACATTTATTATTTTTTGACTCGACTCGGCTCAGAGAATTTTTCTTCCCAGTTTTCTCTTTTCCCTTTTCCTGACCCCTATTAATCAATTTTGAGGACACCTGTGCACCCCTATTTTCTATATTTCGAGGAATATTTTGTCCGCGGACATTGCTTGAAATTGACCCCTTTTCCCGCGATCTTGGTAACAGTCATGCTGTCCCCAAGTCACATTTAGTGACCCCACCGGGACTGCAAGGTTCTAGAATCATCAAAATGATAAGAAATTTGGCCCAGTCTTGGTAAAGTTACAAGCACTGTACACAGAAAGATGTATATGGGACTACGCACACGTGCGCAACACGTGCGTTTATCTCTCACATATCAACAGATAAACTAATTTGCCAAATAGACCTATATCAATTAGTAGGTGGTTTCCTGGAAAAACTGTTAAATCATCATGTATTATAGTCAAAACACATTTTTTTTTACATGATTGGTAATAACAGATTCCATTTCATCTTTACACCTCTTAAGAAATGACCCATGTCAGACGGTCTACATAATTGTAGCCTAATGCTATGAGCTTGTGACAGTACAGTGAGACTGCACATCCCGTCACTCGTCAGACATGTCATTTTATCTTTTGCACAAGCTGCGCCTTGAGCATTTGACTGTCAAGTGGATTTGGCGTCTTATAAATCATATGTATTATCATGATTATTATTATTATTAACATGGTCAAGATCATTCCATTTAAACTTACTCTATTGTGCCGACAAAATGTTGACCAAAACGTAACCTTCTGATGAGCGGTCCTGATCCAGGCAAAAGGGACAAGAATTTCTCTTTTTGAGAGGCTAATTCAGGATCACGCAGCTCAGTCAGCTCTCAAGAAGGCGAAAGGTACGGTACATGCTCAGCTAGCTAGGCTGATGATTGAGAGAAAGTGCAAAAGTGTGCACAAGAAAGGCTTACGTAATTACGCTACGCGACCAACATATCGAAGGCGTGCATATGCTCGCTCCAGCCCGATGGGGGTTATAACGAGGCCAAAAGCATCCACCTAGCTCCAATATGCAATCCGTTGTTATTGTTGTTGCTTTAGTTAGACGCCATTCATACCCTTTGTCCCAGATCAGGCTTCGCTGTTAATTGTCAGCGGCAGTGTTTCGACTTAAGCATAAAATGTGACATTGACGTCTTGTATTTTTTTCCTATGTTTGATTCTTGAGACTGCTCTGTTTATCAGTTGCTTGGGAAAATATTTCATAATTTACAAAATTTAGAGGAGACTGGAAACAAAAAGACCACCATCAAAATTAAGGGTTCCATATATATCTCAATAACAAGGAAATTTGTAGCAAAAAAAAAAAAAAAAATCAACCTGTGATTATTTTCACTGTAGGAAGGAAGATGGACACCATGCATGCATGCTTAGCTCTCGATCATCATTATCTATTTTATTGATATTGGTGACAATTACTTTGGTGCTATATAGCTGTACAATTATACGGCTACCTGCTTTCTAAAAAATGACAATCAGTCATAATTAGTCCGGAACATTATCATCCTTATCATATATAACCCCGGTCATCATCATCATTCAAAACACCTCTTCTTCCCCATCCATATCACCACCATCACCACCATCCTCCTCATAATCCTCCTCCTCTTCATCTTCACCACCACCATCCTCCTCATAATCATCCTCCTCTTCATCACCATCACCACCATCCTCCTCATAATCATCCTCCTCTTCATCACCATCACCACCATCCTCCTCATAATCATCCTCCTCTTCACCACCATCACCACCATCCTCCTCATAATCATCCTCCTCTTCATCTTCACCACCACCATCCTCCTCATAATCATCCTCCTCTTCATCACCATCACCACCATCCTCCTCTTCACCACCATCACCACCATCCTCCTCATAATCATCCTCCTCTTCATCTTCACCACCACCATCCTCCTCATAATCATCCTCCATCTTCATCATCTTCACCATCATCATCCCAAACATCCTCCTCCATCTTAAGTAATAACAAACTTACAGCATGTTTGCTATCCCCGATTCACTAGGCAGAATGTTCATAGAGTATGTGTAGCTGTCACAACAAACATATCATGATTGTTTTATCATAGATACAAAATTACACAAGCAGTGGCAATACTTTCAGTGTAAAATCATTTATAATTCTTTGAATTTCCATTAAAATATCATTCAACATTCAATAAGTATTCACATTTTCAAAATGATAATAAAAATAGAAAAGAGAAATTCAATAAAAAGTAATCTTATTTTCTTGGAATGATTGTACTGGTCCATGAAGAGCTAGACATTTTGGGGAATTTCTTTAGAACGCCTTTGTTGACTGATGATAGTAAAAAATTAAAAAAAGTAGTGGCTTCTTGTGTAGCGCTCATGTCTGTCTGACTTTACACTCATGGTGCTCCATAATTTTTACCACAACTTTAGCAGGTTATTACAGTTTAAATTAAAGTATATAGATTTATATAAAATAATAATTAAAGAAGGCTCACAAATGAGCGATATCTCACTTAATATGTATTGTTAATGCAGCTGGGGTACAAAGTTTGTGCAAATGGCCTTTAGAAATATTTTATTCTAACAATATCTTTTAATAATATTATACATTACCATATAGGAAAAGTAATAAAGATGCAATACATAAATCTTTCATATATATATATATCAGTAATTTAGCAAACCTGCTTTGTATCATTCATAAGTTGGCTTGTTAAAGACCATAAAAGTTTCAACAACACAAGCATCAATCGTTTTGTACATCAATATCATTCAAAATTTTATAATTATTATATTTTTACAATATCTTCTGAACAAAGAGATCAACGCTATGAGTCACTTTGCTTTAAAATGCTTCTTCGAGAAAGACCTTTCCTGATATCAAGTATACAATTATCACACAAATAAATAATAATACTTAACTATAATATGGCGCTTATTACACTCACTAAGGGCTTCCAAACTTGGAGGTTATTACCCCGGCTTTAGCTGTGCTGCCATTAGGGCGCTCTAGCATGTAAAAGAATTAATTAAATAAATGTATACATACATACATACATCAATGGTGTAAGTCATACAAACACTAATAAATTTTCTTGAGATGTATGTTTCCCGATGCACATACGAATTACCATAATAGTCATAATGTTCATAAGAGTACAGAATATAGTTTTCTCATACATTTCTTCAGAGCCCTTTTTTCATATCTTTCTTTACAATTTCTGTTCTTGTAAGCACTGGTCCAGGAATTGCGGTAGCAGTGGCCTTATTGGGGGGGGGGGGGGGGGGGGGGGGGGGGGGGGGAAGGGGCACTAGGCTTTCTGGGTTGAGATGAAATGCATCAACAGTATCACTGAATGGGGGTAGGCAGTTTGAAAGAGGTCCTATCATCTCGTCGTTGTTTTTTTTTTTTTTAGTGCCTTCCCCTCTCCCCATTCTTTCTTTCCATTTTTTTGAAAACCATAAAATTGGAGGAGCATGCCTAGTAGGTATTATTTAATCAGTGGTAGAGGGACGTTTCTAAAAAGAGGTCACTAACATGCCCCTAACCCTACTGTACGCAAAACATGGTATGCAAAATAGCTACATTAGCTACACCACGTTGTGGCTATTGATAGAAATATGCCTCTACAACTTATCAATAAATCTTTGCAATTTTACAAAAAAAAGCCTACCTCTTTTATTTGTGCAAACTTTTCTATACATTAAAACTTTAAAATACAATCGCGTTGATTATGACTTTGTGCAATATATATCCCTCTTACTCTGGAGTTTCAATGTACATGTTCTTTTAAAGATCAATCCAACATTTTTCTGATGAAAAAATAAATTAAGAATACAGAAAATCAGAGAAACCGTTTGGTGAAATTGTGAAGAAAAAAATCAGACAAACAACAATAAAGAAAGTTATGAAATTGTAAAAGCTATAATCACTATACATATGGCAATCTCAAATCGGTGAATTACGGGTAGTCATTTGACTGTGAGGCCCCTTTTGTTGTGAACTAAATATATCAATACCTCATCATTCATTTTCAACAATGATAAGTTAGTCACTTTCTGTGTTGGAACAAACAGGAGAGATGTCTTAAAGGCAGGCTTTACTACTTCAGCCAGAAGGGATTAGACCACCAAGCGAGCCAGCAAGGTCACTGTGACAGGTGGCTATCTCATTAACTCAGCTCTCATTTAACATAAGAAAAAGAGGAACATGGGGGACCAACAGGCACCGATTAGGGAAGTTTTCTATATAGAGGGAGCAAGTACCTACAAGTAGGACAGTGTGCCTTTAAACTATATCACAGTGACATTACCCATTCCACAATTTGAAACTCCTATTGTAATTACAACTTCCTAAAATCCTAACCTTCTTTTATAAACCCATCAGATTTCGGTAAAGTTTTCACCCTATCTGATTGTTCTGCTTTTATTGTTCTATTACCCTATAAAAACCTAATTCAATACTGAATCAAACGGAATGTACAAACAAGCACTAAAACCTTATAAAAATATGTTAAATTATTAGTATGCAACATTATAATAGTTGCAGAAGACATTTATTCTATATCAAACAGCTGACAGACTTGTTTCTTGGTATCCTCCGGACTCGTTACTGTGTATCCTTTTGTTCTTGAGTCTTCGAAGATCTCATGATCATTGCCTCCCTAAATACAGAAGAAAAACACAAAGAAAAACAGAGATGAGAGAGGGGGAGGGAATTAATTTAGTATAATAAATAGTTAAATACAATATAATATAATATAATGTAATGTAATGTAATGTAATGTAACGTAATGTAATGCAATGTAAATGTAAATGTAGTGTAATACAATGTAAATATATATGTAATGTAATTGTAATGCAATGTAATATAAATGTAATGTAATGTAATATCGATGTAATGTAATTTAATGAAAATGTAATGTAATACAATGCAATGTAATGTATTGTAATGTAAAGGTAATGTAAATTTAATGTAATGTAATGTAATAATACATTTTTATCATATAACATAATACAACATACTACAAAATCAGACATTTTTAGAGAGCATCCTAATGGCTGGAAAGATTTCACATGACACTAAACAATTTGATACATGCAAAGGAGTGCACAATGTAACTTCATTTTGGGGGGGCATGTATATTGAGTACCAATTGAACCGCATTATTAAGCAACTGTACATGTATCAATTGTTTGCACTTTCTAAACCACATGCATTTAATGTGGAAGGTTAGATAACCTGAGCAAAACCGAGGCAGAGCTTACAAACACCCTTACTTTTATATCATGAATATTTAATATATTCATAATCCCCAACTTGAAATCATATTTCAACCTTGGCTTGCAGCCTGCAGCCTTGGTGAAATACAACTTCACTTGAGAAATTCTTAATTGATTGGTTCATATGTATTGAGCAGTCAATACATACATTTCATAATACGCTCAATCCCATACAATAAACAAAAATAAATATATATACAATAAGCATAAATGAACAATAAACATCACACCTGAAAGTTTGAACTTATATGTTAACAGATACTTCCATAAACTATGAGTATTGAAAATGAATATTCTCACCTTGTACGTCTTGTCCCCAAAGAAATAGATTTCTTTAAAGTCTTTCTCCAAGAAGTTGAGGCAATAAGTCTTGTCCCATCCTTTTGGAAATGCATCTATGCTTATCTGCCCTCCTGTGAAGAGAGAGATAAAAGAATAGAGAGGGGGTGAGAGAGGGGGTGTGAGAGGGGAGGCATGGGGGGGGGAGAAGGGATGAGGGGGAGAGATGGATAGACAGAAGCACAGGCAGAGACAGAGACTTTTTAATATAACATCATACATTAAAGTGAAATCCAAATTTAAAAGCATGATGCTCAAGAAAGCAAACAAATTAGAGGAGCAGATTTGTAAAAGTTTAAATGAAATCGGACAAACAATAAGAAAGTTATGAATAATAATAATGTCCCTGTGATGTCATGTCAACATACAAAATGAGTAAAATATCTCATTTCTTTCCTCAAAATATTTCACTCTGGATGACCTGAGTGAAATGTTTCTTAGAAGAACAAAAAAAGATATCTATTTCATATGCAGCAAACAGAACAATTGACCATGAATACCTCACTACTCACAATCTAACAACCTAATTTCAAATTAGAGATTCACATATATTTTGTGAAACATTCAAACATTTTTTAACATAACTTTCTTATTTTTTGTCCATTTTTTTTTTACTGCACATTTCTGTTCCTCTATTTTCTGCTAATACACAAACTTATTACAAATGTTGGGTTGCCCCATAAAATAATATTCCTTCATAAACTTTGGAATGGAGGATTGCATCTGTGGTTTGCTAGAACTGTAGAAGATTTTAGCAATCATCCATATCCCCAGGGTCCATATTCATAACTAACAAAGCGAGGGCCAATTAACTACCTGTATTTATAAAAGTTTTTTAAGCTACCGAGTTGTCAATTAATTACAAAGTAAGCCCATAGTTAGTTTACAGCTAGGTAGTGATCTAGGCTTTAAAGTCCATCTGCACTAGTTTGGCCAGGAGGGATAAGACCTCCCTGCATGGTCACTGACAAGTGGTTATCTCATCAAATCAGCTCTCAATTAACATAAGAAAAAGGGGACCATGGGGGACCAACAGTCACAGATTAGGCATTGTTTGCTATATACTGTAGAGGGCGCAAGTAGCTATAAGAAGTGCAGTGGGGCGTTTCCAATAGAAAATTTCTGAATAGTGTCTGACATGTTTCTAAACTAGGGCTGTTTATTATGAATCACAGAATGACCCTGGCCTACATTCATACAACTTTACCGAGCACTGTAAAACCGTAGTAGGTCCATGGTATAACTAACTCCTTACACTGCAGTATATAATCTAGGCAGAGTAAGTAAGGCACAGGAATTAGAGCTTAGCTCACAGGCAATTGAATTTACAAAGGATTTGTACAAACAGAGGAAACCTAGAGGGAATACAATCCTCCATTGATATGGTAATCAAGAAGGCGGGGAGTGGTCACTATGGTGTGTACACAGATGGTTTCACATGACTGCACTTTGAGACAAAGTAAACATGGGGGTAGCTCAAAGGATGGGCACTTTGTACACAGAATAGGTGAAGGAGTCATGATAAAGTGATAAGTTAACTACAGTCAAACCTGCTTTGGTGACCACCTGTCTACAAAGACCACCTGTCTACAAAGACCACCTGTCTACAAAGACTACCTGTCTACAAAGACCACATTTTTTGTTTCCCTTGAAAATGGTTTCTCATTGAAACATGTACTAAAGGAACCTGTCTACAAAGTGTGTGTTTCCCTTGGGTGGTCACTATAGACAGGTTTGGCTGTATATAGATATTTGTTAAGAGGCAAATCATATTTAGACTCAGTGGATGAGCAGATAATGTACGTCTTTCGGATGGTGACGTTAAAGGTTGGTCCCCAGATGTACATAATCATATCTGATTGATACACGTCCGTAAAAATCCTGGCGTCTTGCAGAATGGTAATGTTTTGACACCTTTAAATGTCCCTTGGATATGAGGTATCAATCCTTCAAGAATCATGTCATGGCTATAGGTCCTGTTCATATATCTTGAAAAGGAAAACATTGGAGAATAAGAATAAAAACATCATGTAGTCTTACCTATCGAGAATACCAGACCGTCTTTTGTGAACTCGTTGCGAAGGGCTTCAACCATCTTTTCCCTCACTCCATGGAGCTGAATATATTAAACAAAAAAATGTTTTAAAAAATCTCATTGAACACAAGCTTTCAACAAAATAAATCCTCAGGAGAAATCTACATTTTAAAAATATGAAGTTAGGGTACCGGCAGTCTGCCACAGAAAACAGGAATGTCATTTTTTTGAGCTAAAAAGTCAAAACAATTCACTTAAATTGAATTTGTATGTTCCCATATGAATACAAAATTACAAATCATCCTGAAATCAATGAAAACTGACTAAAATAGGAGATGGGAAAGTGTCTCTTGGGACTTTCAAGAGGAGTCCTTAATGATTGGTTATGTCGAGAAATAATAACTATTTGATCAGCTTCTATCGAAAAGAGTAGAGCAGTCAAAAATATATACGGTACGGGTATATTTTCCTCTAGACTAAAAATATACCAACAGGCAAGTGTAAATTCTTTACACTTCTTCGAGGATTTCATGGCTACCCTAAAATCAGTTTGAGGCATACACACACACATACAAGGAAAAAGGAGACATCTGTAAATTATTTTTAGCTAATTTTTGAAGAAATCTTACCTTGTCAAACTCGCTGAACTCCCCCCTCTCAGGGTAACTGCAACTCCTCCCGATTGGGCATATATTGATCATGCCATTCCTGAATTCAATGAAGGTTCCTCTGAAACAACAAACATAGAATAATCATCACTGAATTAACAAGTTGACTATTGAATTATCTTGATCTCATTCCCATACCATTGAAAAGGGAACCCACAGCCAATGAGTTAAGAGACTGGACAATAATAATAATACCGATAATGCATTTATATAACATATTTTCCATTTTCATATTGAAATTTGCTTTACAATTACATAATTAACAGAAGTTGTGAGTTTTTAGATTTGTTAAAGGTTATGAGAGACTGCTGGTTGCAAAGAAATCTGGGTAGCTCATGCCACAGTTTTGAATGTGGATGCTCTGTCACCAAGTGTGGGAAGAACCTTGGGAGATGGGTGGTTCAGTGTGAAGCCTTGAGAGGAGCAAAGGGAGTAGCGGGATGGTAGAGAGAATCAGATAGGTAGGGACGAGCAAGACCATGGATGCATTTGAAGGTGAGAAGAAGTATTTTGTAATGAATCAATGGAATGGAAACTTTTGCAATTTAAGTAAATTTGTTGATGTAATTGTTATTGAAAAAGGAAGAAAAGTCTCACTGTAACACACCAGAATATTTGTTTGTAATTTCACATGAAACAGATATGAGACTTACATGTGTTTATAAATTATAATAAAACAAGAAAATATCTAAATAGCAAATATATCTAAATAACAAATTACAACAACTTCTAGATAATTGACTTTCTCATCCATACCCCAGGGCTTAAATTAATCCAAGGCCACCAAGGTCATGGCCTTGGATGCCCCTTTGATTGGCCTCAATGCCCTTCTCATTGGCCTTGGAGATTTTGTGTGCCCTTTCCAAATCTTCCTATTTGTGCTGTAATATAGGAATGTGCCCTACAGAAAAGTGGCCTTGCCCTAAAAATATTGAAATTTAAGGCCTGATACCCTAACACTAAATTACATACAAGAGGGCACAATCATCTCTGTGTGAATTTTAATCTGCACCTAAAATGTATCAGATCAAATAACTTACAACAAAACAAGATAAAGAATGAAATTTGTGCTTACCTCTTGAGGGGTAATTTAACACCAGACAGATATTTGAGACAGAAGTTGATCAGTTCCTGCATCTTATCTTCTCCCATGAACTTTTGAATGCTCTGAAGGAAAGAGAAAGACAAATCAATTGATTTATATTGTTATATAAAAATAATATATTATGTACTTTTCTATCCCAGGAGTTATATTACAATCTTTTCTTTTAAGTACAGTTGTTTGCATTAAGCTTACCTTGTTTTGGTTTACTGTTTTATATGAACTGTTCAGACAGAGTAATGAAAGAGAAATACTTGTTTAATATCATGTTTCTATAAAGGCAAATTGATAGATTTATGATATAATTATTTATCATTACTTATCATGGTCAGATACTCTAAATTAAATCAATGAAAGCAAAGTTAACAAACAAGAATAATTAACCAAAGATCAGTTCAATCCAATTCAATTCTTTTTAATTCTTTTTTTGAGGAATATAGCAAGGACAAAAATTAATTAGGTAGAATCCAATTACATATTGCTTCCTTCTGGTAAGTATTATGCTAATGAAAGAAGAGCATTCAAATTACATAATGCCATCAGTGAAACTTTGCCACTGTGGATTTTTGGCATATACATGTATATGATCTTTCTTTCAACAATGGCACTATGTTAGCCAAGATTATATCACAAGATAAACACATCTGTGGAAAGCAGATACTCTCTTTCAATGCTCTTAGCAGTTTCAGTTTAATTCATTTGCATTAATCCAACATTGTTTAGGATACTATTTCATAGGAACAGAATACTAGTACAATAATAAAAGAGCAATAATTGATTAATATCCTGTTTCAATAAAATTTGCTTGATTGTTTAATCAAATTTGTTACATGATGGATAAAAAAATGATGCTTTCTTCTCCTTATCAGTTTTTTGTTTTACTGCTTTTCTCTTCATAAGAATATTTAAAAGGGGGCAACATTGATAGAGCTATAATTATGGTAAATCACAAATAATGATATTTGTTTACTTTAAAAGGGTTTTCAATAAGGCTTATAAGCCATAATGCTCATTGTAGACCTGTTCATGGCTATCCATTACCTTTCATATTATATTCGTATTCATATTTATTTCATTTCCAACAGAAATACATAATTCATTTGCTCAGGAAACTATACAAATAAACTTTGCACATAATAAAATTATTACAAGAAATTCTTAATTTCTGAGGAAATTTACAATTTTACAATCTTGATTTCTGGTTAATACCTGTGTGGCAATGTTTTCTCCTTTAGCTAACGCAACAAGCCCATTCTCAGCAAAGACGAAATCAAACATATTGATTCTCTCTACGCCATCCATCTGCTCTGTAATCTTAGGCAGATCTGAACCTCCCACCAGTCCAACAGTATATCTTTGCTTCAGTTTCTCCAAAAACTCAACCATATCCGGCTCGATAACCTGGAAAGAAAATAGAAAATAAATGGAAAGAAGTAAGATTATTACATATATGTACATACACATCTGGTTGAATGTCTTTTTATTGTAGTACTTTCTGACAACTGGAAGAAGGATACACAGATATCAACTATCAGTCCAATAAATGCTAAAATTTATTAAGCCCTTATAAAAAGATTTTTATAAAAAACAAAGCTAGTTTAAAAAAGAAAAAGAAGAAGAAAATTAAAACAGCTTCCAGCTTTGAGTATGCTCCAAATAACCACAATGCGCAACATATATAAAGTAACAATAAAACTTCAATACTTGATTTAGAGGAAACTACATGTAACTCAGAATGTTACCCATCAACGGAAAAGAGAGGGAAACAAAAAAAGAAAGGGTAAATATATTGAACTGTAAAATATTTTAATAACCCAAAGGATGCCAAAAACATACAACTAGCGGACAAAAGCCAATGCTAAAACAATGTCAAGGTCATTAACTTTGAGAAAATGAGCTTGAAAGTGTCAGGATTTCGTTGATTATTGTCAGGTTAAAAACAATGAAATGAGGTGCTTTTTCCTGTTTACGTCAGAATATACAGGACCAGGAATCAATTAGTATTTGTATTTAGTATGATATCAGAGTCTGACAAGTTATAATGTATTGTAGAAATAAGTACTAGACCCTATTAGTAGTAGATCTAGAAATTAATAGAACTAATCTTTTTATTGGAAAAAGTATATTCAATTACTTTTTTTTTACTTTTCTAGTATGCCTGTCTAGAGACTAGTAAGTGTGAATAGACTTTTAAAAGAATTCATGGATGTATTGTTCAATTTCACTTTGTTTTTTGTTGCAATTTTTGTTATATTTTTAGTAGACTAAACAACTGATGTTTATGTTTAGGCTAGATCTAAGCCAAATCAAATCATGCAGTGAAATAGATCATAGACTAGACTGTAGAGTCTGCAGGCTATTCCTATTGTCTAGTTAATAGTTATTAATAATAACATTAAAATTCAAGTTTACTTTAAAGTTTAAAACTTTAATATTCAAACAGTTAATTATTCATGTTTTCACGACCAGTCCAGGCCTAGATTACGTAGACCATATCCAAACATAAACATGAAATTAGAGCAGACTATCATCTACCTCGTCATGTATTAAGTATTATTTAAACACAGTCTGAAAATGCTAGAGATCTAGATCTATGCGATTAATAAGTTAGAATGCCCGAGTTTGTCCTTCGACTCATCACAGGCCACCCCGCTCCACGAGTCGTCCACAGGCAAAGGCTATCGACAGCTCCGCCCGCGCCCGGCAGCCTGGCGCGAAAGACACGGCTTTGCATGCGCTTGACTGGCCGGGATGTGAGATACATAATTTTCAATGTGTGGGACTTACCTTTAATGATTTTGATTAATAGCGCTATGTATCTTTGGTTTACTTACTTTCCGAGCGGCAGTAAGAGTTCCATCAACGTCGAAAAGAATGATCTTTGATGTATCACGAGACATGTTGGAGGAGAGAACGATATGTGATCAACACTAGGAGAAAACACAAACTGTAGCACCCGAAGAGCGAAGCAGAAGCGGGCCGAGTTGACACGTCAGAACTTTACGATACCTGAGAAATCTCTTTCCTATATTGCGTGAGCTAGCTAGCTAGCTCGAGCTGGCGCGGCACGGCGCGCCGCGGCGCAGCCCAATTTGCATGGATAAATAATGGGAGGCGTTTTGGACAGTCAGCCAGCTAAAAGTCACAGATTAAAAGTGTTAACGTTTTTTGAGGCCGGTCATTGGGAGAAACATACAGGGGCGTCATTCCGAGTGGGGGAGGGGGTCACTAAATCCCAAATAACCCCCAATCCCCCCCCCCCCTCTAGGCCTATAATTTGATGGGGGGGGGGTGGACTGTGGGCCTAAACACTTAACATGCGATTATGTAACTATAAATAGAGGCTATATTGAAATAAGAAAAATACAGTTAAACCCTGTCCGGAAACAGCAAAATTTGGCACTGTCAACAGGTGGCCTCATCGACAGGTTCTATATAATCGGGGATATGAGAGGCTTAACGAAATTCTTTGTTTCTTTCTTTTTTTTAAAAACTTTGTAAATAGTGTAAATAGTTCACTACAAAACTTTAGGAATTTTATTTGTCATATATTGTATATTTGAAAGGTGTTGTAACGATTCAAGCTCTATTTGCTTATGTTTCATCACCTTTGTGTGTTCATTCTTCAAACTGTATATAAGTTGCAACTTGTCTTTGATAAAACAATGTTATATTCTTTTTCACGTGAAGTTAATTCAAATGTATTGTAAAATTGAAAATGATTTGTCATGTTATATTAATTTTTCATGTGATGTCAACTTCAATGAATTGTGAAATTGTGAACATGCATAAATAAATAAATAAAATATCCCTGATATAATTAACACACGTTTCTTTATAGAGGAAGACAATATTGGTCTGGCGTAGAATAATAATTATTTCTCAGACCTGTCTCCTGAGAGTGCATAGGTGCCCTTTTTTATTGGTACCCCCCCCCCCCAACTTTGAAAGTCGCTCCGCCAGGCTCTTGTCCACGGTAAGAGGTGATTGTCAAATCTCGAAGAACAAAACATAACCCCTCATGGCTATCTCCCCATAATGTCCACAATTTCCATTGGTACTTTTTACTTCATGATGAATTGCTTGTTATTTTGGTCTGAGAAATGAAATAAAACTAATGCACTAAAATAAAGCTGATATTGCACCAGAGAGTATCTAGACCCCCGAGCTTCCAGGACCCTTGAGCGGGCCATGGACCCCGGCCGAAAGGGACTTCGCGCACATTCAGATTTGTTTAGGGTGAGTGGTTCAACGCCCCCCCCCCCCCCCCACTTCACAAAAGCTTCCTACGCCTATGATCTACAATGTCTATTTTATCAGGAAGCTATAATCTACACGCACCGATTTTCAATAGGTTCCTCACATGAATTGAGTATCATTGTAAGGCGTGCTTGTATAGTTACATATATGATTTTTTATTTCATAATAATTATGTCTGTCTCTATTTATTGTAAAATGTGGAGAAAAAGAAAGAAACGTGAAACTTGAAAAGCGGGAAAACCCCTGGGTTGTTTTTTTGGCTAGGATATCGAAATTCCCGACGTTGGATGGAATAACCCCCCTTCAACCCGTTTCATGTTCGGTTGCTTCGCTTCCTCGCGGGGTCACATTAATGATGCCATCCAATTTTAGAACACCCCCTTTGAAAGAATCCTGTTGAGGTCTACGCCACTGACTACTAAAACAACAACTACTACTACTACTACTACTACTTTATGCCTAAAATGTCCCTCCCCCTTGAAAAAAAGAAGATTTGCTGACCCCGGGCATCAGGCACGTAGCCATAGTTTGATGTTTTGAGGGGGGGGGGGCACATAAATTGTAATCGATCGAGGTAAAACAAAAAGGGTCAAAAAACGTTCAACCGATCTTGGAATTTTGGGGGGCACGTGCCCCCCCCCCCCCCCCCCCCCCCCCCCCCCCCCCCCGTGGCTACGTGCCTGCTGGGCATTGCTGGCCCGTTATGACATACATATTGCAATTAATTTATAGCGCCTTTACATAAACATGCTCAAAGCGTAGTAGTATTATTAGTAGTCAGTGGCGTAGGCCTACACAGGATTCTTTCAAAGGGGGTGTTCTAAAATTGGATGGCATCATTAATGTGACCCCGCGAGGAAGCGAAGCAACCGAACATGAAACGGGTTGAAGGGGGGTTATTCCATCCAACGTCGGGAATTTCGATATCCTAGCCCTGATCCCCGATCCTATAGCTTGTAAAAAACAGGGGTTTCCTGCATTTCAGGTTTTCACCTATCCGCCCGACCCCCCCCCCCCCCCCTTGACTTTTTTTTCTCTGCTCATCTCGTTCCCTCCCCCCCCCCCCTTTTTCTCTCTCTCTTTCTCTCTCTTTTACTCTCTCACTCTCTCTCTCTCTCTCTCTCTCTCTTTATCTCTATGTAGGCTATCTCTCGCTCTCTCACTGCCCCCCTCTCTCTCTCTCTCTCTTTCCAAGGCCCGCGCCCTAGCTCCGTCTCCCCTTATAATACACATTGACCAATATAGCTAGTACGTACCCCTTCCTCCCGTGGTCGACGTGCGTCGTTCTTTTTCTCGTTATGGCTTTTTCTTCTTTCGTATATTCTATTTATTGTCTCTTATTCTTTGTTTTCCAAGGGAAAATAGCCAGTAAGGATTTTAGAAGTAGGCCTATATGCAAATTTAAATTTAATTAAATGGACTGCATAATTGTATTATAAATGGGCTATGAAAATGTGGATGTATCATGGAATTTTCTGGATAAAACAACATTTTTTTTTAACCTACAGTGCCATGCCGTAATTTTTTTTTTATCACCATATTATTGCATCCAGTGGCGGATCCAGGGGGGCCGAAACGGCCGCGGCCCCCCCCCCCCCTATTGGCGGCGCAAAAAAAAGAAAAAAAGAGGAAGAGAAAAAAAAGAAAGGAGAAGAGAAGAAAAAAAGGAGAAGAGAAAAGAAAGGAGAAGAGAAAAGAAAAGAGAAGAAAGAAGAGAAAAGAAACACAGAGAGAGAGAGAAAAAAAGAGAGAAATGATGACGAAGAAAGCCCCCCCCCCCCCCCCCCCGAATTTGTGTTTTCAAAATCTCCGAAAAAGGTTACTTTTCACGCAACAAAGTCCGGCCCGTTTACACACCGGAGATAGAGGGGTGCTTTCAAAGAGAGGGAACATTAATTGCGCGTACCCTAGATAACACTGAGTGAGTGGGGGGGGGGGGGGGGGAGGAAATGGCGCTCAGTGACAGTAACAACGAATAAGGGAAAAACTGTAATCGTGAGATTTGGGGTCATTCCAGTAGGCTTGGCAAACGTCATTGAATAGAGGGGGCCGGGCCGGCCGCATAAAATCTCGAGCCGCGGATTCAAAGTTAAACGTTAAAAACAGCCCCTGCGCTACAAAGGTCACCACTCTTTAGTGAGAAATTTGAAAAGGGCACACTATTTTGGATGTCTTTTAAATAGAAGCTATATACTCAACAGTCACATTTTTAATTAGCGGTAGGGCCGCTTCACAACTCTTATTTTGCCCTTCATTTGGATTCAGCTCAAATCAACTCGCTTGTGCTTGTATTTGAACTCATGTTGGTAAAACCATGGATTTATCCATGGTTGGTGTAATAAATCTTTCCTTTCTACTAGTCTAATTGTGTGCTATCACAATCATGATTGTTTCATTTTCCGTGTAAAGCAGGCGCGTAGCCAGGGGCGATATAGGGGCGGTAAGAGGACATAAGACGAAAAAGGAGCAGACAAGGAAATATTTTTGAAATTCTGACAAGTCGAGAACGGTACAACGAATCGTCTTCTTTCTCTCAAAATTTCCGCGCTACTCGCGAGCGGGGAAAAACTAAATTCAAACAACGATATAGAGTCGAGAATGGAACAACGAATTATCTTCTCTCTTTAATAATGTAATGAAATGTCAAAGCTTCCGCGTTTCGCGCGGGAGGGGGGAAACTGTATTGAAACAAGGATTTAGAGTCGAGAATGGAACAACGAATTATCCTTTTCTCTAATAATTTAATAAAACGTCAAAGCTTCCGCGCTTCGCGCGGGAGAGGGGAAACTGAATTCAAACAAGGATTAAGAGAAGAGGATGGTACAACGAATCGTCTTCTTTCTTTAATAATTAATGAAGCGTCAAAGCTTACGCGCTTCGCGCGGGAGAAGGGAGGGGACTCAATTCAGACAAGTATTAAGAGTCGAGAACGGTACAACGAATCGTCTTCTTTCTCTAATAATTTAATAAAACGTTAAGCTTCTGCGCTTTACGTTCAGAGAAGGATAAGAGTCGAGAATGGAACAACGAATCTTCTAATTCTTTCTCTAATAATTTCATTAAACTATGAAAGGTCAAAGTTTCCGCGCTTCGCGAGGAGGGAGAGGGAACTGAATTCAGACAAAGAATAAGAGTCGAGAATGGCACAACAAATCTTCTTCTTTCTCTAATAATTAATGAAAGGTCATAGCTTCCGCGCTTCGCGCGAGAGGGGGGGGGGACGAACTAAATTCAAACAAGGAGTTAGAGTCGAGAATGGAACAACGAATCTTCTAATTCTTTCTCTAATAATTTCATTAACTATGAAAGGTCAAAGTTTCCGCGCTTCGCGAGGAGGGGGAGGGGAACTGAATTCAGACAAAGAATAAGAGTCGAGAATGGCACAACAAATCTTCTTCTTTCTCTAATAATTAATGAAAGGTCATAGCTTCCGCGCTTCGCGCGAGAGGGGGGGGGGGCGAACTAAATTCAAACAAGGAGTTAGAGTCGAGAATGGAACAACGAATCTTCTAATTCTTTCTCTAATAATTTCATTAAACTATGAAAGGTCAAAGTTTCCGCGCTTTAGAGTCGAGAATGGTTCAACGAATCCTCTCCTCTAATAATTTCATGAAACATCAGAGCTTCTGCGCTTCGCGCTTAATGGGGATGGGGGGGGGGGACAGCGAGCTGCCCGAATATGAATTTTTGATATCTTTTCTCGTTTATTTTCGTGATAAATAACACTTTCATAATATACATGTACATATATAATGCTCAAATTTTTGCTCGATCGCTTCGCTCACTAGCCGAATTGTGAAACCAGAAAATTACTTTTTCGGGCAAGAGGCTATAGCCCCCCCCCCCCCCCCCGATTGAAATGACAAAAATTGTACCGGTATGGTGCTTCTAATATGACCTTGTAAGTATTGATATGTTGAGTATTAAAAAAAGGTCTGCGCAATTTTCAAATTTCCGGCCCCCCCCCCCCCCCCCCCCCCCCCCCCCCCCCCCTATTGGAAAATCCTGGATCCGCGCCTGTGCATCTAACATTGCATATCCGGGTTTATACCGACAAAATAGCCCATGGTCATAAAACTGTTTTGTTATCGTTCGTGCTAATTAGCCGCACCACCGCACGTACAGCGTATACACATCAGATTTTGAACGCCCTCGGTAAAAACACGTACAAGAAATGACACTGCATAGTACTGCTCGAAAATAAGCTAGAAATTTCAGGCGTGTACGTCTACTTGACTATGTACATTGCACACTGGCGCTAGCTAGCCCTGATCGGAATTTGGGATATTACTACCGGTATATACCAGCGGAGTTGATGTTCGTCCTTTATGTAACTGTTCTTCAGAAATAAACAGTTTTGTTTCTTTCCCATTCCTGGTAGGATGTTGTGATGATACCAGTGACTCTTGTTGATTGGTTGTGAATGATCTAACTAGATGCCCATGATGGGGAAGAATTCAAATTGCAGGAGAATATGTCTGTTCGACATGGATGGGACCATAACAAACACAAGAAGGGTAAGTTGGATTTCATGTTGCTTAATTAATACTATACCTTTATATTTGCACATAACTTTCTTCGTACGCTGTCACCTATCAAAGAAACTAGTATGAATATTGTGCTGTTGGTGCATGGTGTTAATGTATTTTCGAATGTTCTTATAATTTGCTCTGTAAATTTCACAACATCGACATGTAAACCTATACTTTCATGTTGAATTTATGCTCTAATGATCATATCCATATACTTGTTAATATGTGTATACCTCTCTCACCATGAATGTGAATTATATATCAGCTAATTTAGTACTGCAAGTCTACATGTACAAGGGGTACCACTACAATTCAGCACCACGAACATGTTTCCATACCCTACATGTGTTTTTGCACGTAAATCGCATTATCATAGAGTAGCTTGTACTTGACTGCACGTTCTCCTTTGTGCATACATGTGATGATGCAATCGTAGACGTGGTAAATCCCAACAAAATCAATGAGCTTCGATCAAAAGGGGGAATGTTAATTGAAACGAACACAATAAACGGTAAACTCCTCTTACAAGTTCCATTTTGTATGTATACTTGTGATGGGTATTCATACATTTTTTTGCGACTGGGTACATGGGTGTTTGTCTAGTTTTTCGTCGCCCGCAGTGTCGTACATTTCCATTCCAAACATTGCGGTCTACCATCGGGCGAGCGATGTTCTGATTGGCCAATTGCGGAGGTATATGGAGGGTGTGTCCGTGACGTCACAATAGTAGGTCGTGTTTGACTTACTAGTGACATTCAGATAGGATGACATCGGCAAAAAGGCAATTTGTTCACCATTGCATACATGTATACGGTTCGGCAGGCGGGAAGGGATTAATCTTAGTGATAATTCTTTGCATTCCACATTCCATATTTTGGTAAAAAAGAACACTTACCGGTGATTGTCCACAGACAATAAAAAGAAGACAAACTATTGGAGGTAACAATAACTGAGCGCAGTCGAAAATCGAAAATCGTGTTGACCATGCACGTCAGAATTCGTCGCTGTTTTCACGAAGTGACGGTAGTGAAAAAAAATTGCATTCACTTTGCGTTACGATTTTCCTCACTACCGTCACTTCGTGAAAACAAGGACGAATTGTTTACTTGTTAAAATGCGAAGTGCGTCATTCATTATTCTACCCCAGTATAAATTCACATGATGGTACATTTTTGTTTAAATCCTGCTTAGCTGCGTGCTAGCTAAGAGGAAATAAGACACTAATATGGAGAAGAGGAAATGAATTGACAGGGTAAATACCGAGAAACACTGTTGTTGACTGGTTTGTAACGTCATCACCACTGTGCACTCTCATATCCTGAAAGATAATGATAAAAGTACAATTTCAGGTGAACATTAAAGTCTGTCCATTTGAATAGCTGAAAATATGGGTGATTTCAAGTTTGCTGTTCTGTAGACAACTGTGTCTTACAATTTGTTTATAATTCGAGAATGATATGCAGAAAACAAAATCGTACAAACTCCGGTCCCCCCCTCCCCCTATAGTCGGACAATGCAGCACGCTCAACCTAGCTATTCCATTTATGAAAACTGCATTGGCTGGAGTTTGCAAGTAAATACTTCTGAATACATGACACATACTATAATCAAGATAATGGACTTAAACATACGTTTATACAGCGGGATTTATGGTTGAACTGGTCCCCACGCCCCCACCACCAACTTCGCCACAATTTTAAGAATTAAGAAAAAAAAACCTTGACCTGCAGTAGGTAGAACTCTTGTAGTGTGCCTCATTCACCATACACTTATTTTTTATATATATTTTTTTAATAATGAAATATAGACGATTTTTTAACTCGGATGCCCATACATTTGAAATACATGTTTCATGCCTCTTTTTGTGAAATGATTGTGGCAATGTGATTTATTCTTGATAGAAACAGTTTGTATAATCTCAGCACTTTATTGATCAATAAAGATCCGAGAATATATAAATCAAGAATAAATCATATTCCCGCAATCATTTTGTGGAATGAAGTTGGAAACGTTTATTTCAATTCAACCTTATGTGCATGTACATCTTCAGATCGTAGTATTCATGATTTCCTACTTTGTTTGTTTGTGCTGATCGTACAGACAATCGAACCCGAGATGATCGACGTCCTGTTAAAGCTACAGACTCATGTTCCCATCGGTCTGATCACGGGCTCAGACATCAAGAGCGTCGAGAACCAACTCGGACACGATCTCCACCAGATGTTCGATTACGTGTTCGTAGAGAACGGCATGGTAGCATATCAGAAGGGACAGGTGTTTGCTAAGAAGGTCAGTTACCATGGAAACAATGACATCACGAAGTGTCTTTTTTAATCAAACAACGTACATGTAGTTATCATTTTAAAGAATCATTTGGATTTCTCTTTCCCTCCCCTTCTCGCTATCACACTTCTTTTTTTCTTTTTTTAATATTTATTTTCCCTTCCTCTCCCCCATCTTCGCCTTATCTCCCCCCCCTCTCTCTCTGTACTATCCATCCATCCATCCATCTATAAATATATAAATATTTACTGTCTACCCTCCTCTCTCTCTCTCTCTCTCTCTCTCACTATCTATCTCTATTTTACCAAATATATCTATCTCATTATATACACTTTCGTCCCACTCAATCGTGAAATCTTGTTTCCCCCCCCCCCCCCCTGCATGACAGTTACCCCCCCCCCCCCCCCCCATTGCGTTCCCTGAATGTTTTCGTATTCGACTTCGAAAGATTGGCTATAATGCTCTTCATCGTCCTGTGCCTTGACAGGTCGATCTTTAAACGTCGCTGTAGATATTCTTTTCGATAACGATGTTATTGTTTCCTTGAATGCCTCAATATATTTGTTATTTTGGGTCCCTATTTTGTCCTTGTTCTGCAGCATGGTCATATTGTGTGGTTAAAAAGGTACTATAACCTTGATGACACTTGACTGAGTAAATAAATGTCGTTTTTCTGTTCATTCGCAGATCTTGATTGTTTGTTGGTTTGTTTTTCATGATTTAAAAAAATAAATTATCCGATAACCCCGGAACTATACTACCTTACCTTGAATGAATATTCTCCTATTTTTGCTCTTTTAGTGCTACTTCAAATTATTCATATTTGTATTTAAATGACATAATAAAGGCATATTGTTTACGTAATTTTGCTCTATTAGTTGCTTATACTAGATAAGGATCAATTACATTATTTGGTTACTTTCCTTTCTCTTTCAGATTATATCAGAGCAAATTGGAGAGGAAAAGTTACAAGAAGTTATCAATTTTGTACTGCACTATTTGGCTGATTTACATCTTCCGATCAAAAGGTATTCATGATTGAACAAATTGTTATAATTCTAGCTAACATAGATCTTTGTCTCTTTGATATCACATTAATATTTCACTTGTGTGTACACTGTAAAAATTTGCTGTAACTCATGCAGTAAAATACTGTGATTTACAAAAGTAATATGTTGTAATAACGATTTTACGATAATTAACTGTATAAGTACGTTGCTGTACAGTATATTGCTGTAAACATCAGTGTCGTAGAGCATGGGAACAAATATCTACAGTAAGCTAGTGTAAAGGAGCGTGCAAAAAGCATTGTGGGATACAGCGCACATGCGCATTAGGCGGATCGGCTGCATATGCGCGTATGCGTTGCACGTGATTGGCTCCCGCGCTAGCCCGCCACGCCGCGCCGCCATTTTTAATTTTCTGCAAAGATTTGAGCTGAGATATATAGCTAGCTGAGCTGGCCGGCCTGATCCTGAGCAACGAATCTGAATCTGTTCTGTTCCTGGTCCTGATCCTCGAGCTGGGATATTCCAAGGGGATCCGAGGTAAGTTACAGATTGCCAATTATCAGAGTCATGATTTGATTTGTATCCCGCTGAAGTGAAGAATTGTCAGACTGTGGAAAGTATAGGGATTGTGTTTGTAATTGTTCCGTCTACGGTATATGTGTACTGTACGTGCTGTGCTGTGGTGTGTGGGACAGAGTCGGTAGTGTTAGTGCAGCACATGACACTGTACTGCAGTACCAGCGTACAGTGTCACTGTCAATGCGATGCCATTGCACATGGATATGCATGCTCACGTTAAATTGGAAATGTCTAACGTCAAGACCATCAAGACTTATAACTTATAGGACACCGCACACACTACGATCGACTACAGCATCAGTCCATCATGAGCACACTGCGTGATCAGTTGAATACGCACAAGTCTAAGCTCATGTAGTGTAGTCTACAGCACGTTACTGAAGAAATTACAGCAAAGTACTGGCAATCCTGCTGCATAGTGTAATTTTACTTAAAAGTTAAAATATGAAATAAAATTACAGTAAGTTACTGTAAAATTACTTAGTATTTTACTGTTACTTAGTAATTTACAGTAAGTTACTTTAAAATTACTGTAATTTACTTTTTTGAAGGTCGCAGCGTTGTCATAGCAACCAAATAGGCCATTCCGTAACTGGCAGTAAGTTACTGTAAAATTACTGAGTAATTACTGTAAAATTACTGTAATTTACAGTAACTTACTGCTAGTTTACAGTAAATTACAGTAATTTTATTTCATATTAATTTTGAGTACTTGTCTACTGTAATTCACTGTAATTTTAATTTACAGTAACTGTAGGTTATATCTACAGTAAGTTACCATCAATTTTTACTCAAAGTATCTGCCTGTAAACTTTCCTACAGTAAATCACTGCATTTCTTAGAGTAAATTGCTGTTACCGTAGGTTCTTCAAATACTAACAGTAAATTACAGTAATTTTTGTCTTTAAGGATTGTAAATTTGTTTTACATAAATCTATTGTAGTTTCATTTACCGCAAATGAATGTTAATTTCACTTATGTAGTAACATTCATAGCCGTGAAATCAAATGTTTTTTTGCTGAAGGTTTCGCATACAGTCATCATCAGGAGGCTCGTGACAACTGGTTATATTTGATGAATTTATGTTTTTCTTTCGATTTTCTTTTGTATTTTTTGTCCTTTATCTTTTTTTTTATTATTCATTTATCATTTAAATAACTTTTAATCTGTCAATGCTGTACATAAAAAGTTATGTGTACGTATGCATATTAAAGGTATTGTTTTCCGCTCTTCTTTCTTGCAGTATGCCATGGATTACTGCTGAAGTCACACAGTGTGCATGCTGAAACACTAATCAGACGGATGCTCTACATGGACATCATATACCCATGTACGTTTGTAAGCTATGTAATCATTCTTCTGGATCATTGAAGCGGTTTTCTGAACACTTTTCAGTCCATAGAAATGTGGTGAATTTCGATTTCCCGTGTGGTGTTCCTGGCTGCAATCGAACATTCAGAAATTATTCATCCTTCAAAACCCATGTGCATAGGGATCATCAACCATTTTCAAGAAAAAAAGATGCCCAGTTTTTCTGCGTTTCTACCTGGAATTGTCCACTCTGTGCTGTAAAATGTGAGGAAATCCATGACATACTTTCTCATCTTAGAGTTCATATCAAACACGGAGTTGAAATACGCTGTCCTTTTGCCAATTGCAAAAAACGTTTTTCAGTGAGGTCGTCTTTTGCGTCACATATATCAAGAGTTCACAATAAGTTAGACCAGATTCAGTTAGACTCAACTTCAAGTGAAACTGGTACTGTGTTAACTGAATCCGCCCAAGAAAATAATCAGGAGTTTCCTGGAAGACTGCACTCAAGTGACGAGGAAAGTGTGACAGATGATGAAGTAGATGTATCCGCTGACTCATTCAAACACAGCTTATCCTTGTTTTATCTGAAGTTGGAGGCAAAATTACTACTGCCCAACTCTACAATTCAGGAAATAATTGACACAGTTCAGGATATTCATGCATTAAGCCAACAAAATTTGATACCAAAATTAAAAAAGAAACTTGAAGGAATAGGAATTACCGATGATGAGGTTACCAACGTTTTAACTTTATTTAAATCTGAGGATTTGTTCAGTGCTTCAAATTGTAAAGAATTTCGATCAGAGTCTACAAGAAAATCACATTTTAAAGCACTTTTTGATTATGTTTCCCCAACTGAGATATATTTAGGAGAAGATCAGTTTGGCAAACAGCGATTTTGCCAATACATTAAAATTCAAGACACACTAAGAGCATTATTCAAGCAGAACTCATTTATCAAAGATTACATTATATTTATATTTATTAGATTATATTTAAGTAACCTATATTTTATTTCGACATATTTCAAGTTATATAATAATATATTTTTTTTAAGTAACTTATATTTTATTACGATATATGTTACGTTATATGGTAATATGTTTTTTTATCATATTTAATACGTAGCAATATTGTAGCTAAACGAATTTCATAATTTTATGTTTTCATTTTACATGTACACAAATTGATCATATTTTCTATTTTCTTTGTTCATTGTGCACATTGGTAATTCTATTTCATTAATTTCTGTATATCATGTATATTTTCTTATTGTCAAGTATGTTTTACGGTTTTTGTTATTTTGCACAGCCCCTTTGTAAACCAGCCGAGTAGCTGAATAGGGCTTTTACCGTCAATAAATCAATCAATCAATCAATTGAATGACAGCTCATGAAGTTGAAACAAGTTTCTGTGCAGAATTGGCATGTAAATGAGACAAAAATACAGAAGAATATGAAACACGTATTAAAGATTACAAGTTTAATATAACAGAGCAACTCAAATTAAATGGGGTATTAGTTCAAAAGATAAATTAAACAAAAATAAAGTGAGTAATGTCTTTTGGAGAGATTCTACCAGGTATAGAGAGTTTTCCTTGATTCTGCCAGGTATATGGAGACTTTTCATTGATTGTATTCTGATAGTAGTTGTCGTTTAATAGTGGCTTTAAAGGAAGATAAAAGTGTATAAAATATGTCTTGTTTACAATTGAAGATAATTCTTTACAATAGTTTTTTACAATTCAGAATTTTAAAGTGAACATATTGTTGTCTGTTCGACAAATAATTTTTGACCCAAGAAAGTGCAGTGCCCCTAAGCCATACGTTGTGATTTAGCATATCAATGCCTTAAAGCCGCTATGTCTGCACAATTGCGTGTGTTATTCTGTCGTATAATTAAATTAATGCTAGGTCGGGTGAATGATTTTTTTTTTAAGCCATATTGGTTGGGATTAAGCAAGTTATGTGTATTTCAGAATTGGTATAATCTAAACAATTTTTTCAAGAATTTTTGAGATACTGGAAGGATGACTATGGGTCTGTAGATTCTTGAGTACTTGAACTTTTGCAGTTTTTAGTGGTTTTACTTGTTTTAATGTTTTACTTGATAGTTTCTTTGCAAGCATTTTCATAATGTTACACTATTTGAGAAACTTGTTTTATGGAGCGTTGATTACCCAATAAAGACTTTAATAATGATTTTTGTGTTCAGAAAGCTTGTTTTTTCCTCAAATTAACAGGATGATGCTGCTAATGTCAAGTTAGAATACTGTACTTATTACATTAACTTAATGTAAATGAGAGAAATAGATAACAAAATAACAGGATGATACTGCTAATGTCACAGTAGAATACTGTACTTATTACATTAACTTAATGTAAATGAGAGAAATAGATACAAAATTAACAGGATGATACTGCTAAAGTCACAGTAGAAAAGCTGTACTTATAACATTAACTTAATGTAAATGAGAGAAATAGATACAAAATTAACAGGATGATACTGCTAAAGTCACAGTAGAAAAGCTGTACTTATTACATTAACTTAATGTAAATGAGAGAAATAACATTAATTTACTGTAGAGAAAAACTTACAGTACATAACTGTAAATACATTTAAATTACTGTGAATAAAATTACATTAATTAACTGTAAGAAGAACTTACAATAAATACTGTAACCTTATACATGAAAATTTCTTTACAGTAAGCTTACAGTATTTTAATGTCTTACAGCAAGTTACTGTTGAAAAACTTACAGGAAGTTACTGTAATGTCAAAGTTACAGTAATTTACTGTGCAACAAAGTTGCCAGTAATTTACTGTAATTTCTACAGTGAAATTTTTAACAGTGTACTTAAAATCGAATGATCAGAAGAAGTACAGAGTTCGTTCGTTATAGTTTACGTATAGCGCCCCTAATTATTATACAACAATATTGATAAAATTCATCTCATTTCTTCTTTTCATCTTGCATAATTGTTAATAATTATGTAAGTCATGATGATAGTTATCCTATATTGTCATTGTTCGGGGAATACACATCAGAAAGTACTGTGTCTGCGAAGCAACATTGTAGTTCCACATGTACTGTATTACAGGTCTAGATTGTCGAAAAGAAATTCGTCTCTTTATTTTGTTTCTTCTCTTCTTATTAGCCTTTGTCTGACGTCACTATATTCATCTATCTGTTTAAAATTAATATTCCATTCGTTTCCTGTTTCATTCCTTTGTCATTTGGCTGCTCAGAAATGTGTATTACTAATACCTGTGGATTTTAAGATCAGTGCACTTTAATAATAATAATAATAAAAACGGTGCTTATCAGGCGCTTTCCCCCGAAGTCTCTCTTTGAACGTAACTGTTATTTATTACGCTGATACCGGATGTTTTGTAGAATGCCGTAACGGTGTGAGCCAAGGGGTTTTAAAGTGATTTTATTTGTCTGTTTTTCAGAGGATGTTTTGTGGAATGTCGTACCGGTATGATCAATATATGTCCTATGGGACGATGTAACTCAACTCTGGAAGACAGAAGAATCTTCTGTGAATATGACAAGGTGGGTCATCTAGAAAATCATTAATATAATTTATGTAGAGGTGGTTTGGTATACACAGACGTTGTGTGTCCGGACAGGTTGTGTATCCGGACAGTTGATTTAACACAGCAACTTGAAGAAGTTTAAAGCAAATTATAATAATCTTTTAAGAAGTTATGTTGGACAAAATTAGAAAGGACAAATATTTATGGTGGTTATAGTGCTGTTTGATGAATATTTCCAAATAGAGAAAGGCAAAAGAGAATTCTTTAAGTTGGTTAAGTGTCCGTCAGGACTCCGACCCCCCCCCCCCCCGCCATCATACTGTTAGTAGCACAGTGGCATCGTCACGTCAGCAGAACTCATTGAGAGAGTATGATGTTGGGGGGGGGGGGGGGAGGGCGTTTGCTACGTTTTTGTTTTTAACTTTAAATTAAATGTTTAATAATCATTCATGAACTAGAATACATTAATCTGAAGAATTACATGTTGTGACATATCGGTTTAAAAAAACCTGCTACATTTTTTTATTGATCTATTGATTGGTTTCATTTCTTAAAATTTCAATTATTTTTCATACATAACATTGATAAAACTATTTGCCATATACTTCACATAAATGTAACAACATAATATGAAACAGAATTTCCATCATTTTACTAGCTGTCATAATTCACAATTGTTATGATATATTACATTGAGCATTCCGCATGAGCGATGCCAAATGTATTGTTGACAAACCTTCCGGACTCCCCCTTGGTCGATTCCCATATGGTCACATAAATTCAGTACCAGTACTTCATTCAAATATTGTGTTTAATGTCATGAAAATCAAATATAAATTACACTGTATAAACTTTATATACAGTATAAAGGTGCATACTTCACAATAAAAATAGTGACTTCAAATGTACTGCACCGTTTGGTGTGTAGAAACACCCCAAATTAAATATTTTTAATCAGGTATTTCACTTTTTTGTAAATTAAATTTTAAAACAGTAATGTTTTGTTTCAGTATACTTATAGTTTGGCAAGGTGAGGGAAGAAGTACCCCCCCCCCCCGTTACAGATGTTTGTCAAGGATGTTTAATAAATTCAATTAATTTCCCCCTTCCCTTGACTAACATTTATTAAAAAATATATAAAAACAAGTGTCAACGGGATCAGAGACAAATCAAACATCTGTGAATTAAGTGTGACTTTACATTCTATTTAATTGTCTACAGAAACACAAAGTCAGAGAAAAGATGGTCAAAACACTCCGAGAAAGATTTTCTTCCAGCGGACTCAAATTTTCAATAGGTGAGATTTCTTCAGTTTATCATGTTTTTATTTCATCCATCAAAGGTAATTTTGCTCTTTTTATGTTCTACTCAGTTTGCAGGGAAGATATTTCTATTTGAATTTTCATACATAGCCCACTACAGCTTGTACTTTTTTAACACTACGTTGAATTACTATGTAATCATTTTCACCTTCCACTAAACATATTAAGCACTGTTGATATTCAATAGTGAAAGCCTATATATACAGGTGTCGTAACTCAATACATTCCAAGTTCTTAAAATAGTGCATTGAATTTTACACACAGAGCAAGGAAGGATAAACATTACAGAATTGATTTATTATCGCATTAAACAGTAAAAATCACAATTAAAGAGCTGGTTGAATCTTTTCTGTATTCAAGTTGCCTGTATGCTGTATATAAAGTAGTTTGATGGCGATATCTGCAAGCAGCACTGACTTGCAATTAAAGGAATGCGTCAGAGATTATCGCCTCAACTCACATGATTATTATTCTTTTTCTACCAAAAAATAAACTAGATGAATATTAACATGTTTGTAAAATAGTAATAGTGAAATTGTGATGCATGGTATAGTCTATCATACCTGTTACTTGACTGGTATACGTTTATCGTGATATTTAACATACTCGATTCATATTTGCAATATATGTTTTATATAATGCTAAATATATTACTCATTGCAGATGTAGTATCGACTATCGAAAATTATATCGCTAGTGATATTCGTTAATTAATTTGTCTCGCAATGTATGGTCAACAATGGATCTAAAAGATCACGACGTTTCGTGCGCCGCTGCAACACTTCGTCAGGTGATAAAATATAATGTAATTATGTAAGCAAGCGTGTTTTATACTCTATCTTTTAGATCCCTTGTTAACCATACATTGCGAGACAAACGAATATCACTAGCGATATTATTTTCGATATGTTTGTTTGGAATTTGTCCTTTTAGGCCTTTTTTTATGTGAAGCTTGCATAAATAAACAAGTATTGTGTTCATGGTATTATTTTCTAGGAGGACAAACAAGCTTTGACGTGTATCCGATGGGATGGGATAAGACATTCTGTTTGCAATATTTGGATCAGGAATATAAAGAAATATACTTCTTCGGCGATAGGACATCACAGGTATATCAATATTCCTTTATTATGAGTATCTTATTATTGGTACGATTCATTTAGACGTTATGTTTCTCGCATTTGTCTGCTTTCATACAAATTAACTAATGTGAATTAACGCTGTGAAAGTGCCACCATTGAGACAAGGAGTCTGATCAAGTCGTCTTTCGTGAGGCGAGAGGAGACGGGATGCTGACGGGACATAATGATCTTGAATCTCACCTTTTCCCCTCTGTTTGCCCTTAATGTTCTTGTATCGTCTTTGAATACACCATGTAATCACATAGCAAGATTAATGGACTTGACATAAGGATGATCTTGTCTTTTTGGTGGTACTTTCAAGCTCAAATAAGTAAGACAGTAATATTCTCTGATAACGAATTGTTTGTTTGTTTTTATTTCCGAAATTATATATATATCCAAGTTTTTAAAACATACACAATTATAAAACGCATTTCAAATGATAAGAAAGTAAGTAAATGTGTAAAGTATAGACATACGGTTGGATAGCCCATTCAGTTACCCATAATTCAATTACCTAACCAGAATAGTGAAGAAAAAAAAACTCTCAAGTGCATTGTTCCCTCATTTTGTCATGACAACAGACTGAAATTCAAAGAAAATGAATAAAATGAACATGTTAATGAAATCACATTTGTGAAGGCTCTATAATATAGCCAGGAAGGCTCTGGATTCTGGAATGGCTTAGTCAATATTAACCCTCTCTAAAATCATATCATAATTATTATTATTATTCTCGCTCCCTCCCTCTCTCTCTCTCTCTCTCTCTCTCACTCACTCTCTCTCTCTCTCTCTCTCTCTCACTCACTCTCTCTCTCTCTCTCTCTCTCTCTCTGTTAAGGGTAAAGGTGTCGATAATTCCTCTATCGGTTTCCCATCTCCCTACCCCGTAATCATTCATTTAACATCTCTTGATCTCTTGTTTTCCTTGGTTACTTTACAGGACGGTAATGACTACGAGATCTTTCATGATAGCAGGACTATCAGCCACACTGTAACTAGCCCAGAACACACCAAGCAACTCTTACAACAACTCTTCTTCAACCAACCACCAAACACTGACTCGTGAGTGTCATGTTTGTGACTTCTAAAGCTACAGTACTCTTCTTTCTTAGAACAAGCACCAGACTTGCCAGTGTCTGAATCATAACACTTCCAGTGTCTGTGGTCTGGATCAAAGACGTTACCATCAATCATAGGGTATATAGTTCCAA